TTGTAGACCATATGGCATTTCAATGTTTCCATATTTATAAAGACTATTAAAATAGCGTTCTAGGTTCATGAAATGTAGGAGATTTTTGAGCTGTGTTGAAAATAATATCTATTTATAATTATATTTTTTTGGCAATTAAAAAAGCATTCAATAATTTATTTCAATTCAATGCACTTCATATTTATCTATATTAATAAGGATTATTATTATAAATAGTTTATGAAATGAGGGGGTTTTTCTAGCTGCATTGAAAATAAAAATCGAATTTCAAATTATTTTTTCGTCAATTAAATAGGCTCTTAACCAAATGTTAATGTTTTAGCCTTCTCTGTACAAAAAGTTGTGCAAACTTTATATCAGTCAGTAAGTCAGTTAGTGTGTCAGTCAGTCATTCATTCAGTAATTTATTCCAATTCTGCCTGCAGTTTTGGGGCCCGAGCCTCAGGTCCCTTGCACTTGAATTTATTCTACAGCGGACTGTTACTGTCTGCCGGTTCGGTCCGCTCATGTTTCAATGTCAGATGTGTGAGAGTTTTCCATATTATTATTTATGAATACGACTTTGGCTGACATTCATACTTTGCGGCAGATGCCTGGGTTGTACTTCCAAAAGTGTAAGGGTTTTCGGCTACTTGTGAAAGCGCTCTTCTAGTTTTACAACTTCTTCACCTTCACCGAGGGCCAACGTCAAAGGCAAGGAAAGTGCATTAGAAGTGGAAAAATTATGGTCAGGTAGTAAACTTGATATTTCCTATTACACGAAAGCTAATGGAACAACGCGACATTGTTGGACAACTTCTACCTAAGTGCATTTTTAGGTGCATTAGAACATTGATATGATTCTATTAGCTCACACACTCGGGTTTTTATCACCTCCACGAGGGAGCATCAAAAGAAGCATTAAGGGAAACGATAATTGATGAGAAAAGCGATGGATGCTTAAAGATAGCATTACCATTACAATCCAGGATAAACTCCTTGGGTGAACAAAACAGAAATAAGGTCCTTTAAGCTTTATAGACATGCTTAGATTCTTCTTAAGTCCTCTTAAATGTATTTAGATTTCAATTAATTCTTTTTAAAGGACTTCATTAGTTTAAATAAATAAATAAATAAACTTTAATTTAACCAAAAACTTTAACTTCTAAGCGAAATCGAAAGTTTTCAAACTGAATTCTAATGTAATTAATGACGTCAATGTAAACAGTGAAAATTTGCCTTCATGTATGTTTTGCACAACAGATGACGCTTTCGACTTTATGGCTAGCCACGCCAATAGAATTGCTGACGCCACCTGTCGGAGACATACTTATTTTGTGTAACAGGTATCTAATAGTCGTGGCAATCGATCGTTTTAGTAATAGTTATGATAGTAAAATTTGTACAGTTAGGTTATTATAGTTAAATATAGCCGCACTGCAGGTATCTGTCTGAATCAATGGCAAAACCCTAATGCATAATTCAGAGTTGGCAGGAAACCGCAGCCGGGCCAAAAGTGTTTAAAAATAGAAATAATAACAGACACGCCAGCAACAAGCGCAAGGCAAAATGGGAAAAGGAAAGAGGGGGAAATGCGAAGGAAATGACAGCCCGCCGAGCGAGGAAAATAAACAGAAAAACACTTAAATTAAATTGCGAACTGAGCTTAATGCACTTAAAGTCAGGACATGCCCACATTGGAGGGTGAAAGCAGATGAGAATGGTGCCTTTTGTGAGCCACTGCCAATGTCAGCCAGACAGACCGAGGGATACCATTGACAGGTAAGCAGTGCGTTCTGCTTTTCCTTCCTTTCCCCGGACTTCTCCTCGACTTTTCCCGGCCACTCGAACACGCGCCCGAGAAAACCCAAGAACTGAGCACTGAGCACTGAAAACTGAGCACTGAGAATCGAGTGTACGCCGCGGCTTATGCAATGCGGCCAACGAGGCTTGACAATTTTGGTTTGCTTATCATCGTTTTTAGCCCAAGGGAGAGCCCTTTGCCTTTCGATTTTGTATAGGTATTTTGCCATGCAAGGCGGCCATTAGTGACGTTGAAGTCAGCCGAGAACCGAAAACATTTCCCGTTCAATAGGCCCTATTCCCAATTGATTCATCGAAGACATATTTAAATATGAAGTTGGCAAGTTGGCTTATTTCCTTGGGGACTCTTTGCCTCGGTTTCGTGGCAAGAACTTTTTATCTGTACAACTTCATTGCTTGTTTTTGGCTTATTGTCGGCTTATTGATTTAATTTGCTTGGCCCCTGGGCTAGAAAAGTATGGAATATTCAAGCAAGTATTTGACAATGTTAGTTAAAAAGTTTTCTCATTTGCTTATGCTGACACTTGGTAAGCATTTTTGAAAATAAAGTTTGAAAGTAGGATTTTCTCCTGACCAATTTAAGTACCTACAATTGTGGTGAACATATTTCACTGAAAGTATATTTATTTCTTTTGGTTTATTCATTTCTCTGGTCATTGTTTCGGTTAAGTACAAAAGGTTTTTAATCTTTTGTTGAAAATTTATGATTATTGCATTTTCCTTATTGATTTGTTTGTTTAGACCCCCAAGCCGCAAAGAATTGAAAATTCAAACTGCATGTGGCAAAATACCAATTGAAAAGTTTTCCCATTTATATAAACGATTCAATCCAAGATTTAAATAATACTTTTGACAGCTGGTTTTCTTGGTAAGCAATTGCCTTGGGATTTTCTTTGAAAATGAAGAGAATTTACGGCTGAAAAAGACAGCTGCAATAGGAGTAGCATTTTGCTAACCGATTTTCGTTTTTCTCTTGTGCAAAGGTATAAAGCTTTTAAGTATTATTAAAACACCACATAAAAGTTATTATTTTTATTCAATTTAGGATCGCAGTTCCCTCTCCATAATAGTCTCTATAGTTTATAGCTCTACCACTTAATCCACAGCTCATTACACAATTTATATTAAAGCTGTAACTTAATCTTCAGCCCCGGGGAAACTTTAGCTGTTGGCAGTTGGAGCGGGGCCAAAAGTATCTGCCATATTGCACTCTGGATTGCAAAAGTTCTCGGCCAGCATTCCGCAATAATCGTATAGATACGTATACAGTTCTAGAACTTACACTCCCTACATGAATATAAAAGGAAAAACAAGGACAACAAAGGTTGTTTGTGGAGTGCGAAGTGGGAAGAAAAGCGGAAAAGGCTCGCAGGCATTGCAGTGGGTGAAATGCAATTTCCAGGCCATAAAATGGCAAGGCAGGAAAAGCAGAAAAAGTCCTTTCACTCGGCCTTAATGAAAGCGTTTGCAGGTAATGACCATCATCGCAGCCGGTTAATGCGGGCCAACTTGTTCCGCGGGCAGATAACACGAGTTCCTAAAGTTCTCGCGAACAATAGGAAAAGTTTCGCTGCAAATTAAATGAAAAGTTAATATTGGCAGCGTGTTCGATAAACAAAGGGGACACAGTCAACAAGTTGGTCCTAATGCGATTATTGCACAGTGCCTAATGTCTTTTGTTAAATGGCAAGCCATTTAAGTAAATGAGGTTTGATCAATGATATCAGCTATCCATATGAAATATGAAATTTGTAGAAAAGTATTTAATATAATGTTATTTTCGGGACTAACGCAGGAACTTTTTTAGTTTTAACTTCTCCTATATGCTTTAAACTAATTATTTTCGATTTTATTTCCTTTAAAATATAACATTCATTCAACTCATTTTGAAATGCTAAGATATAATCCCCTTGTCCCCCTATTTTTTGTAGTTGGAGACAATATTTAATAACTCTTAGCATTCAAATTAATGGCGATATTTTTGAGTTCCAAGAACAGTGGGCATTGCGAAACTCATTTAGTGGCATCAGCTGGTGCAAATTTATGCTCACGGCTCTTCTATTGTGAGCGCTGTTTTAGCCACAGAAAAGCGACCGCAGCAAACTGTCAACGATTCCCACCGCATATATATTGTACATATATAACCAAGCTGACTAAATCCCAGACAAACAGACGCTGTGTAACGTCCACTTGAGGCGGAGCTTAGCTCTTGTTGATCAATGTTAAAACTAATTTGTTTGCTCTAACATTAATTTCGATTATATTTCTTGGCTTAAAGATTTATGTGTGCACATAATTAAAGCGTGCGAAAAATAAATAGCTATGGGCAGATAAAAAAATTAAAGCACTAAGTATACTGATTTTAAATTCAATCTTATATTAATACTGTGCATTCTGCAAGTTGAGGTAGATTGATATATATATATTATATATATTATTTTATGTAGAAACAATTTAACGCAATTTAACAAAATTTGTTAGAAAGCTCAATGGAAAAAATACTTTGTGAAGCGTTATGATCAAAGAATTTAATTTAAAGACAAATAAACTTTTAGGTTATGAACCAATTAAACATTCAATTTCAATGCTTGTTAAAAAATATCAAAATTTGTGTAGTTTTTTCCAACGGAAGCAGAGAAGGCTTAACTTAACAGGACTCGCAGCTTTTTTTTTTAAGTGCTTTTCTTTCAACCGCTGCTTTCTTTTCATAGCCCAGCCTTAAGCCCAGGGCTTTCCTTTCTTATTTTTAGCGCCACCCAGCCGCAGGAAAGCTGCAGACGTGGGTTGTACAGCAATTCTGTTTACATTTCTTGTTTTTCTTCTTTCCGCTGGTGTATTTAACTCTCAGTGACTTGTGACAGGGGCGGTGTCAAGCGGGGGCCTCACACAGGGGGGTCACGAAGGGGGTCACAAGGGAGCTGCATGGGGGGGACGTCCTGTATCATTTCAGCGACGAAATGAGGGGAATCCCCGCACACACGAGTGCAATGTCGGCGCTTCCTTCGCTGCAGTGGGAATCCCGCTGCGGCCATTTCTCACCCACCGTAGCATACACATAGTTTGTTTTTTCTGTTTTATGCTATTAATTTGACAGTTTCAGCTGCGCTGACAACTGGCTTTGTCCCCAGACACCGAGCATCGCTTTTAATGGCTGCAAATTAATTGTTCTACTCCTTCGTGCTCTCTTTTTTCCACAGACATTTGCCGACAGCATCTACAATACTTACTCTGCGAGGACAAATAAGCCCGAAAGAAAGCAAGGAAATGGATTCAGCCGCCGCCGCCGCCGCCAAACGCGTTCAAATCGAGAAGGCCCACAACTTCATGCGCCAATATCGCGATCCCGAGTCCAGGGAACTCAAGAAGCTGTCGGCCAACCAGTTCATGGATGTCTGGGCGCACTACGATAAAGATGGTGAGCAAAGATATATTTAGTCAAATGGTGTGCAAAGATATATTTAGTCAGATGGTGAGCAAAGATATATTTAGTCAGAAATTATGTTATATTTGATATCATATCCGGTTTAAAAAATCGATTTCCAAGTTAAAACTTTATAACGAGGTTACGGCCAGTTTCAATGGCTGATGATTAGGGTTCGAATCTAGATCCTAAGTATGTATTGAAGATAAATTTGGCATTTGGTAACACCAAGCCAAAGCACAAAAATTACACAATTTCTAGACCTTTACCTAACTTTAAGCGGTTTTTGTATTTCAGTTTTACTTCATTACCAAAGTCAATTAATGAATTGAAATGTAACTTGCATTGTTACTTTGTCTCTATTAACCTTAGGAAATGGCTACATTGAGGGCACCGAGCTGGACGGTTTTCTCCGGGAGTTCGTGTCGAGTGCCAATGCCACAGACATCAGTCCAGAGGTGAGTTTCCCGTTGGGTCGACCAACTGCATCTTAATCTTTCTGCTTCAAACCACAGGCTGTCACGGACACCATGCTCGAGGAGTTGAAGTCCTGCTTCATGGAGGCGTACGATGACAATCAGGATGGCAAAATCGATATCAGAGAGGTGGGTGTTATGACCAATGGCAATATGTGGCCCCCAAGACTTAAAAAATGACCAGAAATTTCGATTTGAAGTGGCCCCCGTGTCGTATGCGCAATGTTGTCTCTTATGGCTTTTTGTATTTGAAATGACATTTCCTTTAGTCGTGGTGGCGCCTCTTTTGCCTTTTTCAAATTTGTTTTTAAATGTCTCGACCCACCCCAAAACCTATAAATTATTGCACGTTTTCCCCCGGGAGAAAAAAAAAACTTTTTGGCAAGGTCTCGAACGAAAAAAAAAGTTTGACTTTGTTTTTGTGGGGGCCACATTAAATGAGTTTTTAATTGAAGTTGGACCGGCAGCACGGACTATTGAAAGGAGATTTTTCTGTACATTCTGAATGGTGGGAATAATAAAGCACCCGGCACAATGGACTTTTGATAAACGTGCCGCCGAAAAAAACGAGAAGAAAGTTTTGGGAAAGAAAAGTGAAAAGTTCAAATAGCGGGGCCCCCATGGATTGTTGATTAAGGTGGCTCGCAATACAAAGGCTCAGGGGGCATTTATAATTCATGTGGTCCACATTATTCAAACGCCACGTCGAACATCGATTGAAATAACTGTGGGTTAAACTCCGCTGTTAACTGGCCTGTCAACAAGGCTTTTTGGCCTGGAGATAAACTTTAATTGCGATAGCGACAAAAATTACCAGCGGCAAGCAAAAAATGCAAATTCCCTTCGCCACAGAGCTAATTATAAAGTCTTACCCGACCACTGATGATTACAAGTGAAGGGTAAGAGCTTCAATTCGACACTTAAATTATGCCGGAAAGTTTTAACGAATGCCTGGAACGCAAACTTTTCCCAACTGTTCGCTAATGAAAGTGCAGCAAAATTCTCTCGGCTTTCGCGCATTGCACCGGAAAATGAGTGGAATAAAGAGAGAAACCCCGTACCGAATAACACACCCATTTATAACTCATTTTATGGTCAAGTCACGCATTGAAACAAAAGGTATTTCTTTTGCTATCCTTTCGCAGCTGGCTCAACTTTTGCCCATGGAGGAGAATTTTCTTTTGCTCTTCCGCTTCGATAACCCACTGGAATCTAGCGTTGAATTCATGAAGGTAGGTGACAATCAGGAATTTCATACCCCTCAAAAATTTCTCAATTAATTTGCCATCGCCTTCTCGTTTCGAAATTAAATTAGATCTGGCGTGAATACGACACCGACAACTCGGGTTACATTGAAGCGGATGAGCTCAAGAATTTCTTGCGCGACTTGCTCAAGGAGGCCAAAAAGATCAACGATGTGTCCGAGGACAAGCTCATTGAGTACACCGATACCATGGTGAGTTCACGTGGACTTAGTACTAAGTTGTATAAGTTAAAGGAGGAATACTTGTAGTTCTAAGAATACAGAATGCCAAATAAATGAAATGAAATAATAATAATAAAACGCAACTACATGTTGAAAAACACTTTATGATGACAGAAACACATAAATATAATGCCCACACAATGCAAGATGTCTATTATCTAATAATCATTAGTAGAACACAGCTGTGATTCTTGACAGATGCTAATATATGCAATTGACACACAATAGTGTAAATAATTCGTAGCCAAACTATGTTAATGTATGCCCAACTACTTCTCCATTCAGCTGCAAGTATTCGATGCCAACAAGGATGGACGATTGCAGCTGTCGGAAATGGCCAAGTAAGTGTCCTTGAAGTCGCATTTCCAAATGCAGGCAGCAACCAGCCAGCTAACTTATTTATTGCAGATTGCTTCCGGTTAAAGAGAACTTCCTTTGCCGCCAGGTCTTTAAGGTAAGTGACAGCAGCGATATGACAATGACTTCCAGCCAGGCCAAAGAAAACATCGTTCAATCGAGGAAATTGCCAAGAGCAGATACAATCAAGATATCGCGGTTTTCAGAACATAACTTTAGCATTTACCAATAGTACAATTTTTAAACAGACTTCGGCTTGCCTTTAAAACAAAACACGTCTAGCACCTAGGTTAGTCTGATTTTTTGGTTTGTCACTAGCTGCAGCCTTGACTTTCTAACTAACTTAGCTTTGCAACTAACTCAACCAAGCAATGTATTTTTGTTCTTGTTTACATTTTGTTTATGTTATTGTTTTGATCTCTGTGCCGACGGGGGAAAAAAGATTTAAGGTCCTTAAGGTATTTTTTTACTGAGAAAAAAGGTACCATAATCAGGGAAATTGCATAGAAAAAAGTTGGGGTAATGCAGCCAGATTGTAAAAGGATTCTACTCATTGAATAGCAATCAATTACTTAATAATGCATGGCTATGTAAGTGCACTCCAATAAAAATCAACCGCCCATTCAACAAACTTTACAAATAAATCAGTCGAAAGGGAAAAGAACATTGGTAGAAAAAACGTAGTAAATACAATTATTTTGTAATTTTTGTAACAAATTTCAGTTTGATTTATATCCTTTATGGTTTTCAGTTATCTTAAATATTAAAAACTAAAATATAACATTTTGAATTTGATAGTCAGATATTTATTTTTACAGTTCCACTTTTTTTATCAGTGTAACCATTTTTTATTTCAGAACTTTTTGCATAGTTTCCTTATGCAAAGTTAGTCGAACTACTAAACCCCTTTAGAGATTTATATTCTCGTTTAACAGATCAGCACATTCACTATTTGAAAAAGGACAAAGCCACTATTTATTTTTCCTCTCGCCTTCCAACAAATTCGATACTGAATGCAACATTGAAAAGTTGTGGCCATAACAAAACAAAATAGTCACAACCCCTGGGTTTTCCTGAAGCCAATTCTGGTTGTGTCGCAACAAATAAAGCCATGGCTGTTTCCCAAAAAAAAAAACGAGGAGAAATGGTGTCTGCAATCGTAAAAATAAACGGAACAAAATGGCGAAGCTCATCCAAAACGGGCAGGTGCTTTCACCCACTTTCCACGCTTTTCGGGGAAACAAAATGCGTGGGAGCTGGCGGATTGGGAATCCGAATCAATTTCCGAAAGCAGACGTTTTTCCTTATTCCCCCCCAGTTTTTGCTCAAGCGTCAACAGATTTGATGTGATTCGAATTGGGTTGTAAATAAGTAAAAAAAAAAAAGGTGAAGCAAAACAGCAACCGCTGCATAAACAGCACAGAAGGTGGAAAGTCCCCAAATGGCTGCCCATTAAATACTTTAATATTAGTTTGCCTCAGACAGATACCCGAGCAATTAGCAGAAGAAAAGCCATGTGGTGTGCTGGCAAAACAAACTTTTTGGCCACTGCCACCAGATGGTTGAGCTTAAAATTCCCCTGGGAAATTCAACGAACCCCTTCTGACTGGGCCCACTGCTGATGATGCCAAATGCGGTTAAATTAAGCCCTGTCATTGCATTTGAGGCTGCCTCCGAATGTCACGTAACTTGCCAGAGGCCAAAAATTGCCCAAAAGTATGTGCTTTCCACTTTCGCATTTTAAGCATGTTGGCATGGAATCGGGACATCCAAACAACAGAACCACTTTTTATTTGCTCACAGCAGCAGCAGCTGTTTAAGGAAACCTTCTCGGAAAAATGCTCCAAATTTATGCAGGCCCAAGATTGATATAAAATGGTGCCAAATTTATATAAAACCTGCAGCAAACGGGATTTAATTGAATATTTATTTTGGATGACTGAAAACTGTCGATCTTTAAAAGGCAAAATTTTCTTTAAGATAGGAAAACAATTTTTTTTAACTCTTACTTAGAGCATAAACTTCATAACATTTTCACTTAAATTATAAATGTGTAAAATTGTAAATTTTGGAGAAGGGTTTTACTTGAAAATCAAACAATAGTCGAATTTTAATCGTTTTGTGCCGATTATAATAATTTTTCTGCATTTATGCATTAATCAGTTATTTCATGAAATATTTGTTTTTATTTAGAATGCTCTTGATAATATTTAAAAAAAATATATTTCAAATCTAGATCGACCAGTTTAAACAATAAATAGCAGTCCCGCCCGAAATAAAACTTATGCTTTGGCAGTTTTAGGTTCTAGTAAAGACAGCTCCACTGTTCATAAAAAGCTGTACTTAATAGGGGCTGGCGGAAATAAATGTTGGACCTTCAGCCTGGAAAACTCCCAATTTGCTGAGCCAGCCCTTCCAAATTTTCCGATTCGCGCTTCCCCCGCTTTGGGCGAACTCTTTTTTCTCGTGTTCGTCCTCCGTGTTTGGATTTCCTTTTTGCTGTTTGCTGTTAGGCGTTTGCCACATGAACCACATCACCAAGTAGGTTTAAGTACAGTCCGTGGAACAGAAATGAAAAAAAGGCACCTTCACTCGTTGTTCTTGGCAATCAAGTGGGCTAGATCCACAGAACAGAAAAATGGTCTCTAAGAGGGGAAATCGGGGGCATTGAGAGCTCTTATTGTTATTTGCTGCAAATGTACGTGCCTCAGTCGCATTGACGCTCATTGCTCATTGGCAGCGGTTGCCGAAAAGTTCGATGGGTTGGGTTTGGGTTTGGGTATTAAATTTCGTGGTGGCACCAGCACCCCACAACAGTGGTATCAAAATCAAAAGTGTTGCATTCAGCTTGCACCCACTTTGTATTGGTTTCGATTGCAATTGGATTCCCATTGCACTAAATCACATTGTTGGCTGACTGTTCGTTCATTCTAACGAAATTGGCATTTTCAATGCGCCACACGCCAAAAAGAACATACACACTTGTCTAATTCGACTGTTTCGCAAGTAATTTAATTGGTTTTAGCAAAGTTTATAAAGAGAGTATATTGAAGCAAAGCCAAATAAACACTAGAATAACTGCTAAAACTAAAGTTAAACTAACACCTAATTGGGAATAAGAACAAAAAACTTGAGTTAAACATCCAATGTGTAAGGATAAACTCAATCGTAAAGTATTTTGAGTCAAGGGGAAATCGCATACCATTAAGGTCTGTGCTTAACTTGCTATTTACTTTATTTGTTTATTTGTGTTTCTTATTGCTAGATTGCAAAATAGCAAAATTTTTATTTTTTGGGACATTTGGCTTATTTTAAACTTTTTGATATATTGTTTTTCTCCGAAATAATCACATTGACTGATGTCAGCTTACATCCTTCACGCTTTCCATTTTAAAATGGTAGCTGGGAGCTGGTGTAAATTCAAATGCATCTCGCATGTTCTTTCAACGAAAAGATGTTTCTGATGTACCCCACACACAGAAAAAAAACACACCTAAAAGGGAAAAAATTACCTAAAATTGTAGAAAACCAGACATTCTAAAGGGATCTGGCCTAAATATTTGGAATCCATGACGTTATTATTCTTAGAAATTTTTGAATTGCTATATGATTGATTTTATTCTACTTAATAAATTTGATTAAATAATATTTAAATATTTAATATCATTTAATAAGTTGGAATATAGTCAAAATATTGCTATTTATTTAATGGATTTAAATTAAACCTGAAAATCAATGTAAATTACTCAGAAATGAAAATGTAGTTTAATTAAAGTTGTTTAGGTCATGCATAACCACTATTTTTCTATGTGTATGTACCCTTTTTGGGTGCAGGAACTTGGACAACGTGACGTTGTGGAGATATGGAGATGTGCACTCAGTGGAAGTGAAGCGGCAGTCCAAGCGAAAAGCCGAAGAAGCCGCAGGATTGCACAACGAACATTGCTCCATGCGAATGGCTGTAGTATGCATGCCGCATATTTGCTCATTGTTACAGCTCGCAGCACAAACGACATTTTATTTGGTTTTTATTGAGGACAGGAGTGGGTGAGTGCCAGTAGTGGGATGGGAATGGAGATGGCGATGGAGAATCATGCATAACAATGTAACGGGACAAGTTGGATTTTAATCGAAACTCACGGCGCGGACAAGGTTGCTGTCTTTCAGTTCCGAGCCAGTGAATCCGGAGGTAAACCGGACACCTGACCACCTCCGATATGCGTATATATCCGTACCTTGGCCATCGTAAGTCGCCCGTTATGAAGTGCCATAAAAAGCAGGCAGCTCCGAGGCTCTGGAAGCCATAAAATAGGCATTTCCAGTACATTTACCAAGGTGCAGTTATTACGTTTATATAATTTCTTAGGGACCGCGCGCACCGGCCATAAAAACCATAAAAGCATGCATCAGCATTTTGATAAGTTATATGCAGGACCCTAAACTTCGGAAAGCTGCAACTTCTGTCCGTCTCTCGGGGCGTCCAATTATGTGGCACAGTGTATTGCTGGCTGGTGGCCAAAAGTGCCAGAAAGCGTTATGCTAATGCACATCACGTATACGCCGCATGCACCGCAACGAGCAGTGACATAATGTGCTGCAACAGAAAAAGCCAGTGGGAATAGCAATAGGTGTGGACAAGGGACAAAAAAAGGGGAAAAAGTGAAAAAGGGACAAGAAACAGCAGGACATTGGCGCAAATCATGCTGCCACTTTAAGCTGTTTTGTCAGGCGCCTTGTTGTTAAGGGCAGAAAAATAAATGGTTAGAAAAGGAATCGCCTAAGTGAAAACGTGACCTCGCGGCACAGACAATTTTATTAAGTTGAATTTCTTTTTGGGTTTCCTCGAATCTAGCAATTATTTCGAAATTAGAGCAATCAACTAGCTAAGCAGAAATCGTTTGCCCTCCAATTGGTAATACATTTGCTTACTTTCTACTAAGCGGATACTTGATATTTGTCACTTTTAGTTTTGCTGCATCCAGATCTTAGATCTTTTAGCTTACTAAAAATAAGAAACTTAAACTTTAGCTTAAAAACCATGTACTCTATAAATGTAATCAAAGCTGGCAATTAATATGCGCCCGCTCTGATTGCCCTTAAATAAACAGTTTAATTTTAGTTTACAACTCTCTAACTTTCTATATATATCTTTTTCGTTTTCCCCTCCGCCTACCTCCTCTGTGCCATCTGTATCTATATGAACATAACAATATACTATGTCTTTGCATATATACTTCTATAATCTTGTGCATTTTTATTTATAAACCAAAAACCATAATATTAATCAAACTACAAATAACAATTGCCAAATCAATTATACCGTGCACGTGGTGTATAACATTTCGGGGCTGCCACATATAAAATTCCGACTTATCTCACAAATGCAATTTGAAAATCAACTCTGAAATAACTAAACAATTACCGCAAATCAAAACTTTTTGCCATCTGCTGTATATACAACAAAAATTTGCATACAACAATCTGCAACCAATTGCACTGCCAACAATGAAAACAAACAAAAATATTTCGTAAAACAATACACAAACTATTTACATTCCTGCAAACAAAACCGAAACCAATGAAATGAAATGAAATGAATAACATAACAAAAAACTTATATATATAAAAACCACACACTAAAGGAGGGCATTGATGTAAGTATTTTTCACCCCATCAACAAGCATTTAAACAACAAACAAAAATTAGTGCTAAAAAAAATAACTCATGTGCGTATAAAAACGATTATAGACACTGGTGGCCCATTAAAACTCTCAATAAAACATTTTTATTTTGTACTTTGGATAATACTCGTTGAAACAATCATTTTTTGTTTGCCCACTTAATAAGAACTCAAGAACTTTAATTGATTGAGTTGGTAATTTTTTGTAGATAGCAGTTTTTCCATTCTGTGCAGCAAACAAAATAGTAGATAAACAAAAACCACTGAAATGCTTTGAATTGGTTTGAAAAAGTCTTGCTTATAAACCGAAATGCATGAAAAAAGCATGAACAATTTAACTTTAAGTGGCTTTTCTGTTTTCATTTACTAATAAAAATAAATAATTATTTATGCTTTTGTAGTGTGTATGATAACGAAAATGTGTTTTTTAATATAATATAAATACATATAAAATAAATTAGTCTTTAAACACAGTGACATATATTTATTCCAGCATTCTTGAACAAACAAATTTGTTAAAGAAATTTTGTTGAATTTTTAAGAGATTTTAAAATAATATTTTAAAATTTTTGGGAACTAGATACCTTTTTTTTAACAGTTAAGAATTTTAAATAGTTCTGTGTCACCATGCATAATCTATTATTATTCTTGTACTTTGATAATTTGTTCGTGCCTGAGCTCTCGCTAATTAATAAAAGCTTACTAAGAAACTAAACTTTGTGCCAGTAAAAGTCTGAGTAATTTGCAATTTACCCATTTTTGGGGTCCTTTAGAAATGCGACCACAACCACAGGGCACTTTCACCAAGAGAATGATAGCTACGAGCTACTAATTAGACTTTTGATGGCATTGGTCCACCCCATTTCCCACTTAACACATCCTAAGCCCAAGTACGTGAACAGCTTTGGCCTTAACGATGTGAGGTCCACGCAAATTACACGTTAATATGGAATTCCAGCTCCACTTCCTGCCCTCCACCATGGGAACCTTTTGCATAATTTAGTCATTGAGTTCGGGGTGCAGGATGCGGGGTGCGGGGAATGGATGATATATTTTGTGGCACTGCCATATGGATAATGGCAGCCGCAGGCTGACACGCTCTTGCCACCGGCTTTTCAAAGTGTTGAAGTGTAAAATAATTACTTCATTTCATCAATGTGTGTGGGCGTGGTGGGCACATCCCATCACATCACATCACGTTCAAGGCACAATTCCACTTAAGTACGAGCAATTTGACAAAGAGCAATGCCACAAAAAAACAGCCACCGAAAATATATATTTTTCTTCGAGTTGGTGAAAAATTGAATTTAAGGAGCTTTTTCACCGCCAAAGTGTAAACTCGCCCGCTATTTATAATGTGGGCTAAGCACATTTTTTAAAGCTCAAGTGGAAAAAGGGTTCCCACTTAATGGGTTTCTAATCCCGTTAAGAACGCAAAAAGAATGCGCCAACTGCGTTTTCATGGCGCCAGTAAAACAAATGTTATCCGACTTTCCCAAGGATAAAGTAAACAGGACCTTAAGTTCCACCTCGCAGCTTTCGCTCGCACCTTAGATACACTGGAAAAAAATACATAAATTTATGTTTGAAAAAGGTGTTGTTTGAAAGAATGTAAACTCAATTGATTTTTTAATAAATGATTATAATACAATAGAATTTTTAAAAAGAAAAAATTGTTCTCCAAAAGTAGTCCAAATAATGTAAAAAGGCAAAAATTAACTAATTTGGTTTGCCATTAAATTTTTATTAAAAAATCAATAATCAAGCTATAAATGGTAGTTTAAAAAGAAAAAATTCAATATTATCTTTGAATTAATATCATTTTTGTTAGATTTAACTATAAACTTCTGTCAGCGCACCTCTGAAAACTTTGAACTTGAGGCGCCACCTTGGCCACATTGCATAACATCCAAAACTACGAGCTGCATGAGCGTGTGGAAGTGTACAAAGTTTATGTGAAAGGGGGTTTACATATGGGGGGAAATAATTCGACCAATTTGCCGGGCGCAAATGGAATCGATAAATTTCGTGTTTCCCTCGTGGAAAACACATCCGGGGCAATCCCAAATGAGAGTGGCGAAGGCTGAAGACAAATCTGTTGTACCTGGGCCATAATTCATATTAATTAGCGAATGTCAACGGCAGAAAACGCATATAAATAATTGGCAGTATGTTTCATTTAGCATAATTAGGCCTTTGCCTTAAGCATAACGAATGAGAGTGACTATGGAATACCTTTTTTTTATCCCTAGCATGATACTTACTAATTCCCTTCCCAGGACACATTTCTGAATTTCTAAAAGCATGTTTTTATTATAATTGCGTATATTTAGCATGAGTTCATGCCTTTGGCGCTTTGTATATAACCAATCAAATCTGAAATCGCACCAAAAGACACGCCACGACCTGTAGTTTAGGTTATAGGGAAAAACCATTGCTAAAGCAGTATATATACTCCAGTCTGGTCAATTTAAAAGATGCAGGATCATCCAAGCAAGACTCAGAAAAGTATGCTATTGATACCCAACAACATGAAATTAGATATAGTTCCACTTTGAATTTGGATTTGGCATACTTGATATTTATAGAATTAAAATTTAAATAATATATTTCTGTAACTTAAGCTTTCTGAATTTTTTTTCAATTACTTTAAGAACAAAAGTTTTTAAACAAATTTCCGCTTTCAGCTCATTATAAAAGTATGCCAAATCCAAACTGTACACAAAACTTATAAATAAACCTCTATGTCAGCCATTTATATGAACGAGTTTTATCAGAGAATTTTGTAGTAATTACTTGAATTTTATATCCACAGGGAGCCACAAAGCTGACCAAAGAAGATATTGAAAAAGTATTTTCGCTCTACGATCGTGTAAGTAAAACATAAATTAAGAAACATTTGTTTGAAGGAATTTATATAATTATAAACAAATGTTTTTATATAAATGCAGGACAACAGTGGCACCATTGAAAACGAGGAGCTCAAGGGCTTCCTCAAGGATCTTTTGGAGCTGGTCAAGAAGGTGGGTAATCTCTCTACACCTAGAAAAAAATAATTCCTTGTTCTTAAAAAAAATTACTTAGTATATATATATCAATATAGGAAAATATATGTTGGTAAAAATTACCTAAACAATTACTTTAGTCATGCTGTCGTAGTTCATTTTTAAAGTAATTGTTTCCTTAACACCATATTTGTTCAAAAATTATTAAATTAAAATAACTTTAAGGTTTTTTTTTATTGTCTACTCCCTTTTATAATTAATTACAATAAAAATAGTTTATTACTTATATTGTACTTTGTAGTACAGCGATTAATAAAGTCAAGGAATTTTGTTCTCTAAGTGTAGGTGGGGTAATGAGATTTTCAACATTTTTATTTCCTTCCAGGACGACTATGATGCCCAGGATTTGGCTGCTTTCGAGGAGACCATCATGCGTGGAGTTGGCACCGACAAGCATGGAAAGATCTCCCGCAAAGAACTGACCATGATCCTGCTGACACTGGCCAAAATATCACCCGACGACGAGTAAACGGGGGGAGGCTCGAGAACATACCAAAAAGAGATTTTAGCCAACTCTATTTTTGTCACCCAAACAAGGGGAAATCCATAAGTGAGGCAATGTTTACTTTAGAGCTGTACCCAAAAGGGGCAGCAATGAGGAGGATTTTAGTATCGGGGAAGGATCCTGGGCGAACAGAGATCCAAACCGAAACGAAGCTATATTGGTAACGCAAATCTAATATTAATGTTTCAATCTTAAATAAATGTTTATCGTACGTTAAGATGTTGAGAGTATATTTCCCCCAAAGTCAAAACCAAAACGGAAATTTATCCAATCAAACAATTTGCAACACTGAATCGAGCCACTTGAAATAAACAATTAAGAAATGATAACATCAAGAGATCAGTACATCGATTTTATAATATTACATTATATATGTATTTATATTTTCTATGTGTATTTGCATAAAGTACTTTATTTAATTACCAATTAAAACTTGAAATAAAAGTAGTTATATTTAAGGATACAAGATTTATTTGAGATTACATAAATATAAAAAAAAATATGTATGCGTGGCTACAATTTGTAGATAATTGTTGTTAATAATTGTGACACAGTATCCTTTGACTCAGTATTCTTTGCCAGTAGTTCTCGGTGTACAATATGTACTCGAACTAAACTATATATATATCTCCCGCAAACATCAATCAATCAATCAATCAAGAGCCACTTGCATCAGCCCGAGGCTGGACACACCCATTGCAGGCGAATGCAAATGTGACACTGTCAAACTGACGGGTGAAAATGGATCTAGTCGACGTTAGACACTCGTCCTTGGGCCTTCCACCCCACCCTCAGGTGGAAAGCATTTCCACTAAATTTCTCTGCTTAGTTAAATCGGAAACTAAACTTAAAGTTAACCTGCAACGCAATTAACTAACGTTTTTTCAAGGTGCTATAGCTATAATTATGACTTGTCCTTAATCCTTTTTTCAAGCTGTTTTCATTCTATTCTTTCAAAACCAAACCAATTTAAAACTAACAATTAATAACTTAAGCTTTAGAACCAAGACAAATTGGTACAATCTTGAAACGGAGTTTATCCAGGGATTCGTTTTTAAAATTTGAACTTGAAATGGACGAAGTTTGAATTAATTTGAAAACTTTAAAAATGAAGCCCTGTGTAAGACCGATTGTACACACCCGTACATGCAACAAAATGCCAACTTAACATATAAATAAACTAATTACGATACAACTCTTTATGATACTTATGCTAAACCTAAGATATTGTTCAAAACCACATGCATGTAAAGCTTCGAAACGGACTTTCTCTATATACAAACCAGATACCAAATATCGAATAACTAAATGGATATATGTCTAAATACTACGAAAATACGACAGAAAGTTTTAATAAAATAAATCAAATCTATGCAGACATCAAGGGGTCAGCACTCCAATCGCGGTCTTTTTATATTTTAGCCAGGCATTTGTAGAGTCGGTTGCGTTTTTCCTGGAGCTCGAGAAGATCGTTCAGTTTCTGTAGCAGATCAGTGGCACTAGTCAACGCGGGAACCAAAGAAGAACTATCCATCCCTGAATCGTTCTGCTTCAGTTCCGGGTCAAACAGACAGTTGGCATAATCCATGATTTTCTTGATTCGCAGACAGAAGCTTAAGTAAAGTTTTAATATAAAAAGTATTGAATAACCAAGGTATCATTTAAAAAGGTGTCTAAAAGTATGCAATGAAATAATAATGTCATCTTTGAGAATGAATCACACTGACTTACGGACTAAATATAAATTGTTGCATACTTTTAGACACTTTTTCCACTCACCATTTCGCATCAGTTGATTTATTGCTTACAATAAGCTGCCAGGCCATGCAGTTTTTTAAGTGCCAGGAGCAATAGGAACTCGTCAGCGTTTCGGTGAAGGGATCATTCCATTCGCTGATGACCGCACACTGAGTTGGCGGAAACTTAACCTTTTCCACCAGCCAGGTGTGCCAAATAAGAGCATCTTCGTTGTGACAATCCACTTCACTATTGTCAGCCAAAACATGCAATTGCATCGACGCAAGACGCTGTTGAGTTACTTTTGAAGTCCTCACTTGGGAGTTCCCTCCGAAATGTCGCTCCAGGAAGGCAGTCGCCATCTTTGGGTAATCACTAGTTATGGGTTCCCTTATGGGGCCTAGGTCCACCATTCCATTTTGGAGGATCAACCAGGAGGGATTCGCGTAGAAGGATCGGGTTGAGGCATCTGCATAAGTAATAAAGGTTTCGCTAGGGGATTTTCTTTGGTAGAGTAAGAGTACTGAATTGAAAAAGTAATCAAATTTTATGGAAAACATTAAACATCAACAAGGACCTCGGATCAAAAACCAAAAAATGATTTCATAAATAGTTTTATGGCTGTTATAAAGCTAGCTCTAAAAATGGTAGAATGTAATACTAAAATAATATAATCTTGAAGATCAAGGTTGTTGTTTCGAAAGATAGCATAAAAGAGAAGAAAGTTGGATAAAATATTATTTAAGACTTTATAAAGCTATCTCTGAATACGGTACTATAAAAAACATGTTAATAATCTTGGAGGTCTATAATACATTTGAAAAGCAGAACAAACTCAAAAAATAAACTTTTACAATTTTATTCACATCAAAGAGGTTAACTAGTGAGCACACAGAAGAGAAGAAAAGAGGATCCTCCACATAGCATAAGAATATAACTCACCCGCTACCGATGCTGACCACCAATTTGGAAATGGTTCCACAGCGGGGCGTGGCAATTTGTGTTCGAGTCATACGGGCAATTTAACAGGATAGGATCACGAAAAAACGTACGAAAAAAACGGAAGTAACAATCGGGTACTACTACGATTGGTAGGGTCCACCTCGCATGGCCTTGGCATCCAACTTCTGCTGATAGGCCAGTCTCTGGAGGATCGTGGGATGCGTGTGATGCCAGCAGGCGTAGCAGTTATCGTAGACCGGGAAGCTCATGTGATCGGCATAGATCTTGACCAGGGCCAATCTCAGTTGGATGGAGTAGCCCATGCGATGGGCGAAGGTATCGGCGGCATACTCAAAGCGTCGCAAATTCCACAGCATCAGGACGTTGGCCAGCGTGAGATATGGAGTGAGGGTGAACCGAAGGACGATGATGAATCCCACGATGATGGGACACAGGCCGGGTGCGAATCCCACCGCCATGTACAGCTGCGGGCAGTGGAAGAACAGGCCAAAGAGTCCCATGGTCAGCAAAAAGTGCAGCTTCATGATGATGGTGGCCTTGTAGAAATGCCCATGCTTCCAGTGACCCAGCTCGTGGCACACCACGCCCGCCACTTGGGTGTTGGTCAGTCCCCTGCCCACTTCGTACGGCTGAAGCTCACCGACATCCAATCCCTTGTTCAGCAGCAGGGTATCGAAGATGACAATCCTCTTCAAACAGCAGCTGCCATAGAAGTAGGCGTTGCTATACTGCATGGTCCGAGTCTTGATGATGAACACACGCTTCATGGGGAATCCAACCATGTCGCAGACCCGCTTCACCTCCGCATACAGAGCAGTGCCCTCCGGCAGGACTACCTGACGTCCAATGCACGGAATGCAGCAGTAGGGTAGCAAGAAGACCAGCATCAGGGTGAACAGGGCCCAGAAGAGCCAGAACCACAGGAAGAAGTAGTAGCCGACGAAGGTCACGCTGAACACAATGGCCGCGGCCAGCGGGAGCAGCACCAACTGGCTGAGCAGGATGGCCAGGAGGCCGATGCAGCAGTACAGGTACCACGGAAACTTCCCCGACATCCCATAGCGCAGCTCCAGCAGACACTTGTCGTAGATCAGCACGGGAAGGAACCTCAGACATATGTAGATGGTCAGGTAAAAGACGAAGATCAGGCTGATCCAGATCTCCGCTGAGGTCACCGCTGCCAGGCTCTTGGTGGCCAGTCCCCAGAGGAAGGGATAAAAACCCAAGGCCAGCTCACACAGCGAGAGGATCAGGTCAATTAGGTACTTCCAAAGCTGCAGTTCCGTTTTGTGCAATTCGTAGATCCTAGCCCGATGGTAAATCTCCGGCGGAATGATTCCTCTCAGCTCCTCCGGCACCATGATCGAGTTCAGGCACACCAATTGCTGGGGATAGACAATGGGCGATGGGGATTAGAGATCAGTGATCGAGGAAAAGCCAACTTACCTGTCTCTTGGTGAGTATCATCTCCCAGATCCGGTCAACTAATACAATCAGACATAGCACCACCAGTATTATAACAGGGTCTACCTTCGGCCAAGTATCGTAGAATGCCATCAAAACATATCATATTCCCCCAACAAACAACAACAATTGTTGTAAGAGATATATCTATTAATACCGAATAATCCGGATAACTCAATCAGAACCTACTTTGTTTTCAGAAAAAAAAAGCGAAAGTCTAACGTCGAAGTTCCTCCAGATGAGCCAAACGATCCAGCATGGTGGGATGCGTGTGGTTCCAGCTGGAGTAGCAGGAGTCGGAGACGGGGAAGGCCAGGTTATCCGCATAGAGCTTGAGCAGCGCCTGGCCGAGATCTCCGGCGTATCCGAGTCGGTAGGCGAATCTATCTGCCTCATACTCGAAGCAGCGCGTCATGGACAGAATGCTGAAGTTGGCCAGCGTCATGTAGGGCGTCATCACGAAGCCAAAGATGATCAGGCATCCCACGACGATGGGCTGCAAGCCGGGAGCAAATCCCACTGCCTGGTAGATGGGTCCATGGGAGAAAAAGGCCGCAAAGAGTAGTATTGTCAGTATAAGATGAACTTGGAATGCCATGATTGCCTTGTAGAAGTGCCCGTGCCGCCAGTGACCCAGTTCGTGGGCCACCACAGCCGTCACCTGCGAGTCCGTCAGTCCTTTGCCCATTTCCTCAGGTGACAGCTCGGCAAGATCTCTTTTCCCTCTATTCAGCAGCAGGGTGTCGAATATCACAATCCTCTTCAGGCAGCAACAGCCGTAGAAAAAGGCATTGCTCCCGGTGTTGGGATCGTGCACCCGGATGATGTATACCTGGCGCATGGGAAAGCCCACCTGCCGCGTCAGCTGCTCCAGTTGGGTGCGCAGGTTCGAGCTCTCCAGCGGCACACGCTTGCCCATAAAGGGATCGATCACACATGGAATCAGCAGGAGGATGAAGAATGTCAGGATCAGAGTTTGACCATACAGACCGAGAGGAGCATATGGTCCCAGGGCCAGAAACATGAACACCAAGGCCACCACTACCGCGATGGTAAAGGCAGTTCCCACAATCAGGTCAAAGACAAATTGGCAGATGCGCATGAGCCACGATGGTTTGGCCCTGGACTGCACACTCGTGATGCACATTTTCTCGTAGATCATGGCCGGAACCATCTTGAGCCAAAGGTAGAAACTCAGAAGAAGCACAAAGATCACGGAGACGCAAGCCTCGTGCTCCATCCACTTGGCCACGGCGCACTGGCCGGCCACTCCGTACAGCCAGGCGTAGAAGCCCAAGTACAGCTCCAGGACGCCCATTATAACCGCTGTGACCAGGGTGTTGGCAATGGTAAACCAGCCCTTGTGGATTTTGTAGACCCGCATCTTGTCGTACAGCTCCTGCGGCAAATATGGACTGATCACAGTCGGAACTTTGTGCGCTTTGTAGGCCACGTTGATCTGGAAGACAAATTATTAGTATTATACCAACAGCAATTTTAAGATCTCCGCATCAATTACCTCCCGCAGCAGCAGATAAATGGCCCATACATTGTCCAGCACTAAAAAAGCTATGATTATGTAAAGTATTGCTATTGGATCATCCCAGAAATACGCAGTCATGTTGGGTTACTCTGATTATAGCTAGGCATTTTAGGCATATTTTTTGTTAATTTTGACGTTAGAAAATCATTTTGGGCTGGGTTCTGATTGATGGATTTTAAACTACCGGTTTACATGTTTCGTTACTTCCCTCTTTGCAAAATGTGGAATATTTTCTTTGGGGTTCGTCCCCTTACTTTATTTGTTTGTACGTTAAAACAAAGGGAACAGTATAAACTTTGGTCTTGTGTGATGTGAGCGGTCTTAGTTCAGCTTCTTGTCTTCCTTGAGCTCCTTGAGGCGATTTAGTCGCTGAAGCAGGGTGGGATGCGAATGGTTCCAGGTGGAGTACAACCAGTCGTAAACGGGAAAGCCCAGGTTGTCCACATTCAGTTTGATGAGGGCCTGACCCAACTGCTCAGCAAAGCCCAGCTTGAAAGCAAACTCATCGGCCTGGTACTCGAACCGGCGCGACAAAATGGTCATGGCGAAGTTCATGAGGGCGTTGTACGGAGCCAGGACATATGTGAAGACAATCAGCAAGCCCACAAGAATGGGACGAGTGCCGGCCTGGAAGCCCATGGCCTCGTAGAATGGTGGGTACTTGAAAACATTGCCAAAGACGAGGAACATTAGGAAGAGATGCACCTGCATGATAATGATGTTCTTGGTGACGTGGCCCAGTTTCCAGTGGCCCAGCTCGTGCCCCAAAACGGCCAGAACCTCCTCGTCGGTGCAGCCTTTTCCCTTTTCGTCGTCGGTGAGCTCGGAGTCGTTGGATTTACCCTTGTTCAGCAGCAACGTATCGAAGAGCACAATTCTCTTCGAGTTCCAGAGGCCATAAAAGTAGGCGTTGCTGTGGGAGGATCGCTTGGATCCCTCCACCACGAACAGCTTGGTGAGCGGGAATTTGAGCGAGGCGGCCAGATCCTCGATGGACTGCCTCAGAGCACCCTTCTCCAGCGGAGTGTACTTGTCGAACAGCGGTGCAATGAAAATCGGGTACAATGTGAGTAGGACCAGTGAGATAACGCCAGTAAAGATCCACAACCAGATGAAGAAATTGTCGCCCCCACGCTGAACAATGAAGATAATGGCCGCCGTGATGGGAATCATGAGCACCTGGGTGACCAGGAAGCCCTTGAGCTGATCCCAGGCGAAGAAACGCGCTGTCTGCTTGTTGAAGCCGTGCGTCTCCTCCAGCACGAATATCTTGTAGATCTTGAAGGGCAGTCCCTTAAACGTGCCCAGCACATTCGATATCAGCACAAAGACGCAGCTGACGATGATCTCGTTCTTGGAGTCCCACTGCAGGTGCTCCACCACCTCCACGGACAGCTGCCACAGCACGGCAATCAGTCCGATGTACAGCTCCAGGCAGAGCAGGCCCACGTCCATGACCACCGCCTTGAAGATGCCGAAGTTCTCCTGGTCCAGTCCATATTTCCTTGCCTTGTGGAACGTCTCCTCGCCCATGTGTGACGTCAGCTCGGCCGGCACCTTCAGTGCAGTTCGGTACACTTTCACCTGGGGGAGAGAGGTGGAAAGGGATCACATTAAACGGGCATCGCGTATTGCCAATTAACATTTGCGACTCTAAATTTATCACTTTGCATTGATAAAATTCCTTGCCAATTGTCGCCATCTCGCTTACACACCAGCCGGCATACGGAAAAACTCACCTGTCGCAGCGATATGTAAATCTCCAGGGCATTTTCGATAATAACCAGAAACAAAATGCTAAGCAGCACGGTGTCTGCGTCCAATGAAGACATATTTAAATGCTATTTCATTAAAAACTAATAAAACTGGAATTTTACAAGCGCCAGTGACGAATTGTGAGTGTAGTGTGACCGTTGCTCGGTCGTTTAAATATATCAAAAGCGGAATAGATTTTGTTATCGATTATTTGGTGATGGGAGTTCTGATGTATGTGACAGTGTCGACTACCAAAGAATCAAAATAAAAGAAAGGATGTTGTTTTTAAGGCGATTTTACAGCAAAACTGGTCGTATAGCCCATATTTCGAAATCCCACAAGCCAGGCGACTCTTTGAGCATCCAGGTAAACCATTTATTTTTTTGTGTTGAAAGCAACCCCATTCAAAACATTGCATTCGTTAAAGGGCTGGATCAAGAATGTTCGCCGGCTGAAGAATAACACATTTCTGGACGTGAATGATGGATCTACGAGCAGTAGGTTTCAGGTGGTGGTGCCTAGGACTCCCGAGAACCAGCATTTATCTCCAGGCAGCGTAATTTCGGCGGTGGGTCAAATCCAGGTGGCTCCAAATGGCAGCTTTGAGTTGCATGCACAACGCGTGGAAATGTTGGGTAACTCATTAGATCTAACCAACAGAATTTGGTATCCTTTAAAGCAGTATAATCAATTGTTCAGCGGACGGACACCTGCAGGAGGGATATCCCTTTAGCCCCAAACAGCAACATCCACCGGAATATGTCCGTGAGCATCTGCATCTGCGTTCCCGCGTTGATTTCATAGCCGCCCAGATGAGGCTAAGGCACAAGGCCCAAAAGGCCATTCATGATTACATGGATGAACTGGATTTCGTGCAGATCAATACTCCCCTGCTGACCACCAATGATTGCGAGGGAGCCGGAGAAGTGTTTCGGGTTCAGCCGGACTCTGAAGCCCTACTGAAACAGATGTCCAGGCCGGGAGTTCCCGTGGAACAGAGCTACTTCGACAGCAAGGTCTTCCTCAGCGTCTCCGGACAGCTGCACCTGGAGGCCATGTCCTATGGTCTGGGCAACACGTATACCCTCTCTCCGGCCTTTCGAGCGGAAAACTCCAAGTCGCCATTGCATTTAGCTGAGTTCTACATGTTCGAAGCGGAACTGGCCCATCTGGATGAGCTCGAGAAATTGGCGGGGTTCATTGAAAAGATGCTCAAGTCAGTGACAAATCGCTTACTGGAAACAAGCTCTGAGGATGTGCATTTTTGTCAGAGGAACTCCAACAGCAGCTCAGATCTGCCTTGGTTGCAAGTTCCGTGGCAGATAATGAGCTACGATCAAGCCCTGCAAGTGCTGCAGGACAATAAGGATAGCTTAAAGACAGCAATAAACCTGAACGAAGGTTTTTCCAAGGATCAGGAACTGTTTCTAGTCAACCACTGTTCTGCTCCCGTGTTCGTTGTGGATTGGCCCGCTGACCAAAAGCCTTTCTACATGAAAGTCTCGCGCACAAATCCCAATCGAGTTCATGCACTGGACCTTCTAATGCCTGCAGTTGGAGAATTATGCGGCGGAAGTCTGCGTGAAAGTGACCCAGCAGTTTTGAGCTCCCATCCGCAGCTGCCAAAGGATCTCTCTTGGTATGTTGACATGCGAAAATACGGAGGGATTGCTACTGGAGGATTTGGCATGGGCTTTGAGCGATATCTGCAATTGGTCACGGGTGTCAAGAACATCCGAGATGTGATACCCTTTCCCAGGTATCCACACAGCTGCAAGATGTGATTTTTTAAAGGTGTAAAATATTGGGGTTTATTATGTTTGTTGAAAGTGTAATAAATGTATATTACTTTAGGGTATGTGTAAAATCATTTAAATGGGGGTATCTATGTAAAATATGTTACTTTTCTACGAACATAATAGTGGGTGGTCCTCAATCTAACCGATTGGCCAATAAGCCTTTACAGCTGCCCCAACATGGGTTTTCGGCCTGGCCAGGCCTCCTTGGCATACTTTTTCTTCTGTGGACATAGAGCATCGCCCTCGCCACTGGAGTCATGCGGATCCTCGCCATAGCGACGCACTGAAATGATAAGAGAACAGGTAATCAGAGGTAAAAAAAATTCAAGGATGGGTGGTGGCCTGAACCCTTACCATTTGCATTGGCAACGGCCAGCTTTTGGGCCAATGTGGAGGTGGGCTCCACTGCTTCATCGAAGACGGGCAAAACCTCGGGCGCGGGATTTGGCAGCAACAAGCCCAACTTGGAACCAATGCTCAGCGGTGAGATGGGCTCCAGGTCTCCTTTTCCGTGCGTCTCGGCCGGCAGTCCTTGATAGAGAGAGTTAGTTGGCGAGTGGGGCACCGGAACATTGGGTGCGGGCATTTCTCTGCCTCCCTGCTGCTGGTTTTGGTGATGCTTCATGTCCGCCAGTGTTTGCTGGAACATTTGGTGCACGTGGGCAGCACTGACACTGGACAGGCTGCTGCCCGAATGGATGCCCATGTGGTTGACATCGTAGCGGGCCCGCTTGGCAGGCACCACAGTGGTTTGCACCAGGTTCCTGAAGCGTCCCACATTGGGATCCACATCTTCTGGGTTGATAACGATCTCCTCATCATTAAATGTGACATTACGTATGCGACGACCCTGCTTCAAGGCGTTTTGCTTGCGCATATTGGTGTCATCATCGATGCCCAGCATTGAGATGCGTCGGTTGTGGGCCGTATTGTACTCCGTGAGATTCTAGAGGGCAATGGTTTAGTTAGTTGGTATAGGATTGTGTGCACTAAACCTACATCAAGCTCGGTTTGGCTTTCGGGCAGGCCCAGCAGAGTTCCGTCGCTCGTTTCGCTGAGCGGCAGGTCCTCCATGATATTGTTGTGGTGCCCCGAGGGGCGTTCCCTGAGTATGTAGTTTCTGGTGGAGGCTCCAAAGTGAAAGGTGCTGTTGATCTGCAGCTGCGTGGGCTTGTGAGCCTCCAATCTAAGTGTGCCAATAAACGTGCCATGAGCTATAGATGATAACTAATTAGGTAATCTACATAAAGAGATCCCGGATTTGATCACTTACTGGAACCCAAATCAACGAGGTAGGCGATGTTGAGATGCTTGTGGTAGACAAATGCCGAGTGGACGCGCGAGCAGGAGGCGTGGTCTATGCAGAAGTCGTTCATTTGGCTGTTTCTGCCAAATAAATAGCATCTTTTCTCATCGACCATCAGTTTTTGTACAAGTTTGTCGTCCTTCAGCACATCCAGATGCAACCCAGTGGGAGGTTTGCCGGCCCTAAAAATAGATATTATTGCTTGTTCTTGGGGAAAATCTTCTCTTGCATTTATTAACCCACCAACTGGGGATGTCGTAGCTGTTGGCCATGCGTTTAACTTAAGTTAAGTCCCGTAGAAAACCGGTTAAAAACTAATTTGTTTATTTTTATGCAAAATCCTTGGCGAACGGCCAGTGTGTACACAAAATCAATGTGGCCAATGCGATAGTATCGACTGATTAATGACAAATGGGGTATTCCTTATTTAAACAATTTGGGTATTCCCGAATCGTCTGAATCTCTGAATTGCTGAAATTCCGGAGGAATATACTGAAATTCGGTCAGCTCTTCCATACAAAATTCAACTCGATGAAATTTCAAATTCAAACGTTTCGGGAATACCCAGAATATTTTCAAATTGGGGTATTTTAAACAAATTTGTAACCATATATAACAACAATTTCTTAACGGCAACATACTTTATTATTTTTAATTTTAGGCCAGCGACAAGTGTTTTCAAAGATTGGGCAATTATTACACTTAATATTAATCTTTCCGGAAACACACCTGGTGTGGTAAAAAGATAAACAAAAAAACAGAACAACTCAATTGTTGGAAAACCATGAATAATACCATCTTATATCGATCTTACCGTTAATAGCTGCCCGCTTTTGGTGATATATTTAAAAGGTTGCGCTCCGGTCACACTGGCAAACGCTACAGACAGACAACAAAAACATAAATAACGATTGCTGAGAATTCTAAAAATAATATAAGGAAATAAGCAGTAGTTAATCCAATTAAAGTGGCTTAATTAATTAGCGCTAAAAGAAAGAGAGAGTTACATAAATGAAAGTGACGTGCGCAAGTCACTCTTTCGCCTTTAATTTTGTCAAATCCGAAAACCTGTTTTGGATGCCCGTGAACTCATCTATAGCCACCTTGTGACGTCCATAGCCACAATTATTAATCATAGATAATTAGCGGAGGGAAAAATGATCACAACGACGGCGATTGCGGATCTTTGCATCTTCCTGCTGACCTGGAACGTGGGCACCCACTCGCCGAGGACACAGGAGCTGAGTTCACTGTTGTCCCTGAATGGGACCACCACCTGTCCGAATAACCAGCTGCCCGATATATATGTGATCGGCTTCCAGGAGGTGAGCACCACGCAGGTGCTGAAGATCTTCCAGGACGATCCGTGGGTGCTGAAGATCGCCAGCACCCTGCAGGATCACCAGTTCGTCAAGGTGGACTCGAAGCAGCTGCAGGGCATCCTCATTACGATGTTCGCCCAGCACAAGCACATTCCGCACATGAAGAACATCGAGTCGGAGGCCACGCGTACCGGGTTGGGCGGCCTGTGGGGCAACAAGGGAGCCGTGAGCATCCGGCTCTCCCTCTACGGAACCGGCGTCGTCTTCATCTGCTCCCACCTGGCCGCACACGATGATAAACTAAAGGAGCGCATCGAGGATTATCACCAGATAGTGGACAATCACAAGTATAGTGCCCAGGGATATCGCAGCATCTTCGACCACGACTTTGTCTTCTGGTTCGGAGATCTCAACTTCCGCCTGTCAGGCGATATGTCCGCCTGGGATGTGCGCACGGATGTGGAGAACGCGCGTTATGCCGATCTTCTCAAGCTGGACCAGTTGAACCTGCTGCGCGAGAAGGGCAACGCTTTCAGTTTGCTGGAGGAGCAGCAGCCCGATTTTCCGCCCACTTTCAAGGTTATTCTCAAATCGTTATCTTAGATAAGTTAAACTTTAATTGAATTAAATTATATAGTACTCAGGTTTTTTTTTTTAATTTTATCTGCTGACTGAAAGATAATTAATCTTCAATTAAATTTAACACTAGTAGGTAACGGGTATAATCTTGTGCTATCTTTTTAATTTCCTCTTACGGATAAGCCCAAATTTCTTATGGATTTATAGTCGGCTATTACACCATTGTTAGATTTATAATAACAGTCATAAAGCTTTGTTAGCCCACTTGAACTCCCTTATTTTCAATTAAACTAAAAAGGTATTTGGTAGAAATTCTTTTAAGGCTAAGGCCAACTTTATAAGTGATATATATCCATCTATCACGCTTTTATTAGATTTAAATGAACTGTCATTTGAACTCCCTTCAAATATCTTAATTTTATCACTTGTTAATGATTATAATTTTTTAATTAGTTTTGGCTCATTTTAAAATAAAAGCAACTTACAGCTTAGAAAAGAATAACAAAAGCTAGATTAAAATTTAAGATAACTGTCTTTTGGACTTCCTTTTCAAATCTTTATATTTTTTATTGCAAGTTAAGTAAAACTTGGTAATAATTATTAAGCTTCTAGAAATCATTTTTGTTTATTTTAAAATCCAAGCAGCTTTAAAGCTTTGACTAGAGCAACACGCGTCAGAAAAGAAAATAATTAAAAGTCCTTCCAACCAAGTTCCCACTCAAAGTTAGACTTTAATTAAGAAATCGATTTAATTCCCCTTATCTCGAGTACCAATAAAACGTCTAATTGATTCTCCTTGCAGTTCAACGAGGGCACCAACGACTACGACTTGAAGCGACGACCCGCATGGTGTGATAGGATCCTGCATCGCGTGCAGAGCAACATTTACCCGGGCATTACCCTGAGTGCCAACCAGTTGTCTTATCAGTCCCACATGGACTACATGCTCTCTGACCACAGACCCGTATCGGCCACATTCAGCTACAAGGTGGAGGCCGCCAACCAGACCTACACCGACGAGGAACTCCATGAAATGACGCACGGAGCTGCCTCCACTCCAGCCGCTCCAAATGTTAGTTTAACCTTCGCTTTTGTTGTGCTTGTAGTTGTGTCGTTTACTCAACTTTGATTTCGCTTCTTTTGTAGTTATTTAACGCTGAACTAGAGCAATGGTAGAGCCGCCGTGATGTCACTTAATTGTAAATCTTTGAAACTTGTTGCATGCTTTAAAATAAGATCTAAAGTCGAGTTGTAGTGTAATTAAAAGACTTCCTTGCAGAAGGAACCAGCGAAACGTAAATAATATCAAGTACAATGTGATGGAATCTCTGCTAATTAAGCAATAAACAAGCAATTCTCAAGTAGCTTCCAAGTATGATATATAAAGATATACATAGTATCAGTCAATTAAATTGAGATTCTATTTATTTGTTTGTGTTAAACAAATGTATTTTTGTAGAAAAACCTGTTGATCGAATAAAGAAATCTGTTACCTCTCAAAATGAATCACTTCTTGTTTATGATTACCGATCAAATCCGAGAACACCATAAGTATAAACAAAAGATAAAAATTTGCAGAATTGTTTTTGGGTTTATTCGATGCTGATGACTCAGCATTGTTCATTCTTTATTAGCTAGGTTCCTTGGGTTGAACATTTCTTTATACATTCGCCGGGGCAAAGTAAAATTAAAATTGGTATTATATAAGTATATAAGCCACCTTTAAATAATGATTAAAGCTCTTTGCTTAACTTAGAGCAAAAGTACGGAACTAAATTAAGTATGGTAAGATAGTAAGGTAATTTATAAATATTTATATGTTTATATGTGTATTTTTGGATGAAGCGTTTCTAGTTTATGTGGGATAAATGCTAGTGTATAAACTAATGTAAAATTGCCTCCTCAATTCCTTAATTCACATATTTTCTTGCGTTCAGGATATACTTTAGGTGTGGTTCAGATGGCACAACAACAAAACGTTAAACGAAGTTAACATAATACAATTTAAATGAGTTCCCATATCTGATTATCATAAATAGGTGTAAAAATTGTCCCTTTCGAAGTGTGTGCTCTCGATTTTTGTTGCTTAGTTTACTAACGGACGTTTTCTTCATTCTCTTTGCATTGCCTTGCCTAAATACAAAAGCAATTTGTTTTGTTTCACAGTATACCATTTTTTGTTTGTTTATAACCATGCCAAGTGGTCCAAATATTTGTTGCTGTTGTTGTCGTTGGATAAAACGATTGCATAAGAAGCGACACCAAACCACAAAAACCACGCGACCTTATTGCGTGTCACTGAACATAGTTGTTATCTAGCTAGTTACATAGATAAGATTGAGTTTGTGTAAGTATAATCTCCAGTCATGTTTGGTTAATTTCGTTTTCTATTGAAGAACACATTTGTCTTTTTCACCGCTTATGTCCACATGCTCCAGTTTTCTCGCAATCTCCTGGTCATCTTCGATCCTGAAATCAACAATGGCTCAATTTCTGATGGTCTTGTAGCAGAAAGTGGTGAACTTACGCTATCTCCTGGTTGTGCAGATGCTGAACCAACTGGTCTCGCTTGTCGACAATCGTCATCAGCTCCTCGAGCAGCAGCCGCTCCTTTTCCCGTTGCACCTCCGTCTTCCGCCAATCCTCCACAGATTGCGCCGCCCGCAGCTCCTGATTGAGCATTGTATACTTTCGCTCCAGATCTTTCTCTTGCTCGCTGATGGGTAAACCAAAAACCACATGATAAATAACATAAAAAGAACTGATTGTAAGGCCAAATATAACTCACAGTATGTTCAGTTGCATTTGTCGCCGGAGAAGCGCGTTTTTCTTGTTGACCAGCGTGAACCATTGCGATAGCAGTTGCTCCTCCGTTTCCTCGGTCTCTGTGGAATGATTTAATCACTTGTTATTAAAATACATTAATGGGGGTTTTTTCTTTGTGTAACTCTAAGATTAATTACAGCTGGCTGGCCTGTTCTGAATATTTTAGTAGGATTATATAATTTAATATTTATAGTATAGTATTTAAAACCAGAACGGGTTAAAGTCTTATATTTATAAGATTTTGATTATTTTACTATGATTACTTTATAGGTTTATATCTTTAGTAATCAAAACCAGAACAGATCATTATATGATATATATAACTTTGTTAAGTTCTTAGATTCTGAGTATTTTACTATGATTAGATTACATATGTAGATTATAATTATAAAATTAAACACCAGAACAGGCCTTTCATATTTAGTTGTGATCTAAACAGGCGTCCTTTTACGGTTTCAAAAGCTGCTGCAGAGCGTGGACTCTGTGATTAGTGAGCGTTTTTCGTGGGGTCAGTTAGAGCCAAGTCCGAACGTGGTTAGACACAATTTGGAACGGCTGACTGGCCGACGGCCCAGTTAGCAAGCAAACACAGACACAAACTAGAACAAACAAACGGCACAGGGTATGAGCGAGTAGATGCGGGCAGGCAGGCGGTTCAGTTTGAGTTTGAGATTTAGGTTGATCTGGACGATCGGGAGGCGTGGCAGTGCAGCATTGGCAGAAGCGATTTGCAGCGCAGCTCATGTATAACTCAGGCATGGTCATGATAGTATGGGCCGCACTTTACCACAATGATTGGGGGTGTGACATAAATGGGAGCTCCGCTCCCGCCGCTGACGGCGTCGCCTGTGATGGCGATCCTGCTGCCGCCGCATAGAGGCCGCTCGGCCGGTGGTGGCCGCCAGGGCAAGCAGCTCGTCATCGTCGCTGCACGCGGGCAGGTTGTCGCAGGAGGACTGCTGCGAGGAGAGCGCCGACGGGGAGCTGTCTAGCATGTGTAGCTGGGTGTAGGGCACAACGTGATGCACATGATGCGGGCGCAGATGAGAGGGTGTGGTATTCATGGTCGATGGATGGCCCTTGTTCACATTAACAAAACACGACTGGGAGCGGGGTCGGGGTCGCAGCCGCGTGTGCAACTCGTCGCCGGAGTTGCAGGCATCGCTATCATCGCTGGACGTATCCCGGTCATCGTCCTCGCTGCCACCGCCTCCACTACCAGCACCTCCACTTCCACCACCACCACCTCCACCGAACAGACTCTCGTCGTCCGAGTGGAGCAGCTTAATACGTATCACATCACCACCACCAATACTATTTCGGATTAGCCTAAGGAAGGAATTGCCATTTCTGGCGCCACCCCTTCGATTATTACTTGGATTGCCGCCCATGACGGCGCGCAGCTTGGCCTCCAGGCTGCTGGCCTTCTGGTCAATGGCCTCCTGTTCCCGCTCGAGGGCCTCCAGCTCGGACTCAATGTAGGACAGCTTGTCGCCCTGGAAATGTGATAAGAAATGGGGGTTTAATCAAATGTTTTCAATGGAAAACCATGGCGACAGCTTACCCTCTTCTCCTGCTTTGGTGAGATGCGGTCCACAATCGCGTTGAACGACTGCAGGGAGCTTCCATTTAGTCCCAGGCCCTTTGGATCACTTAACCTATGACTAGGACTGACCGACTCCTTGGCGTGCTCCGCGTAAAACTCCTCGGCTCCATTGTGGATCGGCGAGATGGTGCGCTCTAGTTTGGGTCTGGTTGGGCTGGTGGGACTCTCAATGGAGCCGCCGCTCTTCACGCGGGTCTCCAGGATGAGGCGGCGAGCCTGTTCCAGCAGCCGCTGCTGCCGCTCCTCCTGCCGGGGTAAAGACATCGAAATGACTGAGTAAATATCTGCACAAGTTGGTTACTTTATAAATATAAAAAAAGTATACCAAAGGTACACAAAAACGAGGGTTTTCTTTGGAACAGTAACAGAAACTAATGTTTATAGTATTATTTAAAGGAAATGTAATGTTTAATATACACCATATGGTTTAAACACAATAGTGCACTTCGATAACTCAACTGGTATAATACTTAATTAAAAAAAATGATTTAAATAAAAATATAATAAATAAAAATTTTATTTTATTTTAAAAAGACCTCCCCTGTTTACGGTTTCAAAAATTATTAAAAATTATTATTTTTTTTTTAAATTTTGTGTAATTTTAGAAATTTGTTTTCTAAACTTAGGATTAGGAAAAAAATATTTACTAACAATTTAAGGAGCTTTTTTTCAACAAATTAGAATTTAAATAGAATTTTTTAAATAATATTTCTTACTACAATATATGTCTAAATTTATTTGTATTTACTTATCAGACCAACGAAAATCGTGAAAATTTGAAAACGAGAATAAGAGGGTTTCCCCTAACTGACTACAACAAGGTTCTCATATACTCTCTTACTACTTTTAGGTCTTCGCAGAAAATATTACATTGTCAAGAAATATACCGCCTTTTTTATTCTAAACCAATATTAAAAAAAATAATAAGATTAGAAACTAACAAGACATGCAAGAGATAAGCTGCGCTGCGTGCGGCCGATATCGTCTCTGGCAAATAGCTACTTACGTCATTTGCGTCGCTGGTATTGTGAAGCTTAAGCTTTTCTATCATCAGCTTGGCTTTTTCGCTCATCAGCTTGTGGCGCGTTAAAATTCGCTACAAAACAAACCAAAAAAGTAAAGCAAAAACAAGGAAAGCAAGTATGTATAAAAACCGAAAAATTCTCGGGAATCAACTGAAAAGAGGGCTAAATAAATAATTGGCGAAGCCAAGCCAAAGCAACAACTCAATATGATAACTTCAACTCAACGAGGCAACTGTGATGCTGGCTTTTACTCACACTGGTCGCCGGATTGGCAATGACGGTTAGAGAGCTGTTTTCCTTGCCACCCGGTTGAGCACCTTCGTCCACGGTCTCCTCCTGCGGCGGCGGCGGCGGCGACGACTGGTTGGCGTGCTGCGAAGCATTAATCGAGTTCTTGTCCTTGGTGGGCGACAGCACCTTGTCCAGTATGTTCTTCGAGTTGTACAGAATCAGGTTCTTCACATCCTTTTTGCTTGTGGGCGACAATTGCTCTGCTTTGTTCTGCCCATGCCCATAAGTCTCCTCGTCGAAGGAGTTCTGGTGCAGCAACAGCGTCTTGGGGTGCGAGAAATTGATGCGATTCTGTGACATGTTGTCCGACATGTAGTTTCCAATCACATAACTCGATTCATCTGCCGTCGAGCCTGAAAAAGGTATTGCTTTAAGCATTTAAATATTAAAATCGTCTGTAGTTTGCTTACCAATTTGCTCGATCTTCAGCTGCTTGCCAGTGAAATGAGCTCTCAACTGGTGCAAATAAGTCATCACGGCCAACTTGTCTGGTACTGTCAGCAGATTCATGTCCCTCGGTTCAATCACTCTTGGTATTCCCAACGATTCGGCTGCATCAAAGGCAATGCGACAGTTGCCAACTACTTCATGGGCACTTAATTTAGACATGTCACTAAAAAAGGGGGAGACTCGATTAGTTAAAAGTCGCTTTTAGCATTGGGAAATTTGTTAGCTAAATATTGAAAGATAAATAATAAAAAAGATAACAAACTTCTTATCATTTTTAACCCAATTTCGATGGTATACACTCACATGAGCTCCGGCACAAAGTGGTGAATTATAGCGCAGAAGGCCATGCCATTGCGCCAGCTGGTCGTCAGATTGGTGACCTTAACATTGGGGTAGTCTTTGGTAACTTCCTTGCACCACTCCAGCAGATCCTGGCCGGGTGTGTTCTCCTTCAACACGATCTTCTCCACGGGCTTCAGGCTGTTGTTCATCGATCCAGAGGTACTGAAACCCACCGACTGTGATCCTATCGATTCGTTTATCACAGATGCGGGTGCGGCTGCAGGTGCAGGTGTGGGTGAGGGTTCGTAGCTCTTCTTTAGGTTCAGGGGCTGCAGCTCGGGGCGCTTGGCAATCGAAGGAGTCACCACCACAGATGAGGGCGTTTCCTTATTGGAACGACTCTCCTCCTTGGGCTTTTCCTTCGAAGTGCTATTGTTGCTGGCCAAACTCTTGGTGGTATCCTCCTTGAGACTACTTTCCACCCTAACATTATCATCATCCGCCTTCTCGGTGAAAAAAAGAGCCCTTTTCTTTTTTGGCTTCAGATCCTCCTTGTTTAGCTTGGGTTCAAGTGGCGTGGAGGTTACCATTTTGGCAAAGACCTCGCTGGTTTTCGATCTCAACGGCTCCACAGGTGTCTGTTTCGTCTGCTTTATTTCTGCTGGCGACTTAACCGGCGTACTGTCCACCAAGGGCTGCAGTCCATTGGGAGTTTTTAGGAGTTCATCAGCACCACTGGCACCACTGGCGCCACTAGAACCACCGGATGCAGCTGTGGGCAAGTCTAGCTTGTTTGCAGCTTCTCGCTCGCCGTCGGCGTCTAGTTCAAAATGCAATTGATTAAATGACTCGGCCAACGGAGTTGGATCTTCAGATAACGAAGGTACTACATAATATCAAACAAACGAAAACAAAAAAACAAAAGAAAGGAAAATTTACATTTAACAATTTACGCACAAGTTACAAGTTGCAGGAAATCATTCAAGATACGTGATGTGTTGTTGTTGATGTTGTGGGATATAGAAAGGAAATAATTTCTTTTTGAGTCAGATAGAAAAGTCTGTACAAAAGATATCTACAGCTAAAATGCTATAATTAGAGTCCATTGGAATTGTTGATTTGTGTGGATTAGATAATGCATGATCAAGTTTACATATATGGCATCCATGAGATGCGTAGTTTGGGAACTCTGATCTATACATACAGTAAAAAATCGCTCTAGGGAGTTAACATACTTTACCAAAGTGCTTTTCATAAACGAAAGAGAGCTTTAAACTCTCATTCCGCTATTTCAGCACTCTATATACATAATATATACGCTCTAGTCCACTTTAACATACTAACAGATACGAATACTTGAAATATAGTACATAAAACATATGGTTTGATCTTGGAAACTCTTTTCTTACCACTTTGAGGTGTGGCCACATCAATGCAGCCATTCAGGCTAGTTGTCATCTGCTCCAGTTGCTGGGTAAAGTCATATAAATTGTCTGTAATTTCACTAAAATTGTCCAGATCGGGTATGTCCTCCAGGTCGTCCAATGGGGCCACATCATTGTTGTTAACGGACATCATGGAGACCACGCTCTGCATGTCCTCATCCCTGAAATGGATATAAACCATTTACTTTCCGTGCATGTCTTAAAGTATATTTGACTTACGTGGCCTTTCCCTCCCTTAAAAACACACAGCTAATCGTGAGTTCCAAACTGGCTGCAGTAATCTTCTTCGAGACTGGCTTTAAACTCAATGTAAAGCTCTGCTGAGTGGATTCAATGCTGGCATACTTCCTCATATTGATGCTGGCATTGGCCAGCACACGTTTCTTACCCATTGGGGTAACCTGCGGATATGTACATAACTCGTATTATAATGTTTTTTAAACTCCTATTTAACGCACATCTTCGATGACGAACGTCCAGTCCTTGTCCTCCAGCTCGTGCGTCCGGGGATCCTTGAACAGGGTGACCGATATGGTGTGATTGTCGGGCACTGGCCAGGAAATATTGCCCACCAGGGGGTTCATCATGTCCGGCTCCCATGGCAACGGAGCACTGGTCACTCGCCTAGATCTCCTGGTCCAAACGACCGAGAGGTTCGATGGACGCCTGCGAAATTGTATACATTTTAATGGTCAAATGGGTTTTCCGAAAGTTCGTTCAACTTTATATGGGAAACATTCTCGACATATTAATGATTTAAATATACATATGTATAAGACCATGAATAACAATTGCCGGATGCGGCACAATAATGTGGTTCTTCAGCTGATAAATGTATGTTTATTAAACTGCCGATATTAAGCATTAAACAGGAAGAGCGGAGTCATTCGTAAATACAGAGATATGAAAAAATGTGGGAGGAATACCAAAACTTATATTTCTTATGAGATATAATAGTTTTCAATCCTTTCATTTTCAATATACACTAAGTCAAATCTGAATAAACGTTATAGACAGTTTATTTGCATGACAAACTGTCTGCGCTTAATTACTATAATTAGCTATATCTGTTTAAGAAGATAGATATTTACTGAATCAATGATAAGATCAGTAATATTTATAACTGTTTAGAAAAACGCAGGTCGAGCCAATTAGATAGTAAGTTGAAAAGTTAAGGAACTAGTAATTAAAAATTGTATTGGTATTTTAAGGGAAGCAAAACACGACTAACTAGTTGTTAACTATCTATACTACTTAAAGCATTCGTTCTATGAGTTTATTATTTTAAGAAAATTAGGAATCACGTATGCATATCTCATTTACAGAATTAACTAAGATATTTAAGTGTTATTATCAGGATAAAAAATATAAGATAAAAAATATAAGCATAAGAAACTTAAAATTACAGGGGAAGAGAAATAAGGAAATGTGTAGGCCAGTATGTTTGTGTTAAAAAGACTAAATAATATTTTATTCAATGTTATATTAATATTTAGAACTGGGGAAATAAAAGCCAAGTATAGTTCGCATAGAAAAACCGGCTATAAACTCTTCCGTTTTCTTCTGCTCAAATTGAAAAGCACTTAGGCCAACCTGCTACTTGAATTCCCTGATGAATTAATCCACTTTAATATAACATGGGGCACTTACCACTTGGCGGTGGTTTCCAGATGCAGATCGTGGTACGACGCAGTGAACTGGAATTTGGCAGCGCGCTTGAAGTTGCGCTGCAATCTCTTCCAGACGCTGGCCATTTTAGCGGGTGCAGATCGTCAGGGATTCTTTAATTTGAATATCTTCGGGGGGTGTTGAGGTTTGTATAAAAATTAGACCGTTTTTTCGATCGTCGTTGATTGGTTCTCCTAATTTATTGTGTCATGTTTATCAGTTCACTTTTGGCGCAGGCGATCTGGGTACAGAATAAAATAATATAATATTTCTGAGTCATATTAACTTATGTATCATTCACAAAAAAAAGAGAATGCTGTTTGTGCTTTGGACATTCATAGAGTTTAATGAAACCGAAAGTTAAAGTCTACAAAGCGAAAAACAAACTATATATATACATTAATTGTATTGTTGTCTGCAAAAATACTCAAAAAACACGCTCACAAACACACACATGCGATTTGTTTTTTTTTTCTTCGCTGTTTTCTGACCTTTAGTTGTCACTTTGTCTTTGTTGTTCTTGATTTTCCCGATTTTCCTATAAATACTCTAGAGATTACAGCTCATTGCTAGTTTTGTTTTTACTTTATTTTATATTATCTATTAATGTTCTCGCGGGCGTGTGTTTGCGTCTCCCTGGCAAATATTTAGCAAAAGCAAAACTTTTTGTGGATACATGGACGTACATACAAATACATAAATAGCACCATTATGACGTCACTTTTGTTTTGGTCTCCAATTTCGGTTCAAGGTCTTTCAGTTTTGGGACACTGCCGTACATTTGCGCGATTGTCACGAGCACTCGCAACCGTTCGACTTATTTTTTATCACATTACAGCGAATAATTTAATTCACACCGATTTTCTTCGCTTTACACTTCGACCCGATCCGACTAGAGGTGGGTAAACTTCGACGAATTCACCATCGATGCATCATCGATGTTTTTCCATCTCGCTAATAGGCTTTGTAGACTAGTCGCATCATTGTCAAAGCGGCAAGCGGCTTCATTTCAGGCGCAGCTCCATGACATTGCATTGACCCTGTAGAACATGTAATTAAGGTATTTCATTTATTGATTCTTCATGAAAAGGATTTGAAATAACAGCGTTGCCAGACTAAAAGTGGTAGCGCGCGCTTTGCCGTTGCCAGTCCAAATAAAATGGTAGGTGTCTCTGCTAATGCCAATAAAAAATGCACTGTAAGAAATGTGCATGTCTAAATGCCGAATTTTATACATAAAAAATGAAGTTAATTTTAAGATATACAACTAATTATTTATTATTAACATTGTAAATTATTGTATTTTACATGCATATGAAAACGAATCTGATCTGACGTACATATTTATAGCTTATTGCATAAAATTCGTTATTTTGTTTTTCTGATCTCATGAGTTAATATTAAATTAAATATTTTCATCGTACGAAAAAAATTGTTTAAAGAAATGGTAAATTGTGTAAGGAATATAATTTATGAACTAAAAAATTCCCTGAACTATCTTATTCCAAACATTTATGTTCCCATCAATTACAACTCATAACTTGAACTTGTTTTAAACGCAATTCGATAAATTTTATTTATAATTAAATCATGGTTTCGTTAACATTAATTACAATTATTTAAAAATTAGGCGTGGCTGCTGTTGTTTTTTTTTTTTTCGTTTTCGATTTGTATGATCAAGAGAATGTTGTTTAATTGAATGTGAAATTTGCGGTTTTGTTTTTGTTTTTTTCTTCTGCCGTTTTATGAGTCTGCATATGTGCCATGCAAGTGTGTGGGTGCGCATATGAGTACGAGTCTTTGAGTGCAGCTGCGTGTGTGTGTGTTGGCGGATTTAATCGAATCGGATTGGCGAGGCAGTGGCTATATAATCATATATCTTTGCCGTTTACGGCTAAAAATCCTGGCTTTGTATTGTTTTGCTTTGCTTTGCGATAATTCAAAAGTGAGAGCTAAAAAAATACAAACTGATGAGTGAACTGGCTGGTTGATTATCTGGTTGGTAATCCTGGCAGAGAGTTATTAGAGATATAAGAGATACAGATACAAAACGGGCGTATCACACGAAAAAAGCGCTCGAACAAAGTCATAAACACATGTCATAATATGTTAGGTGCATGAAACACGAAGATATCACAAACAATTTGCTATCAATAATTTAAAAGATAATCACAATCGGTTCTGAACCGTGCAACTGCAATCATCGATTCTACAACCGAGAATTTGTTGGAAATGCTCCACTCTCTACCGTTCTTCTCTCCTCCTACATCCACATCTTCCTAAGCTACATCCTGCCACCGGCCACGCCCCCGCGAATCCGCCCAACGCCACACAGTCGTCCACAGTCGTCTAGGTCTTCTTCTGCTTGCCCTGCTTGCAGAACTCCTTGTAGGCTCGTTCAGTCTCCTCGTCCATCTCGGCATCCATCTCCAAGTCGCCCACGTCGCCATCGAAGTCATCGCCATCGCTGCCCTCGCCATCCTCGGTGGCAAGGAAGTCGGTCTCCTCGGCGGTCAGCTCGCGTCCATCGGGTCCGTAGAAAACTGGCTCATCGCTGAGGCGTAGCGGCTCCGCCACTGTGTCCTCGTCGCCGCCGAGTGCATTGGACACCTTGCGGCCCCAGTTGTTCTGCTGCAGCGCAATCACACTGGCCGCCATGGCGTACTTGCCCGGCGACTTCTGCTCGATCGCCTGCAGGGCCGTGATGATCTCCTGCATGTCCTTGTGGCAATCCGCACTCAGATCGTACCCGGCCAGCTTGAGGGTCTGGCACAGGCAGCGCACATTCTCGTTGCTCTCGCTCAGTAGAAGCTTGCTGAGCGAATAGACAATGTTCACCGCAATCAACTGGATGCGCGAGTCGTCGTCGCCGCGCAACTGCATGTAGAGTTCGGCCAGGAAGAGGGCCGTCTCGCGCACCTTCTGCTGCTCGTTGGAGCGCATGTACTTGGTCACCTCCTCCTGGTGGTAGTCCAGCTTGCACTTGAGCAGCGTGTGGAACAGCGAGTCCGGCTTCGGATTGAGCATGTGCAGCAGGTTGTACAGCTTGGCGCCCATGTACCGGAAGTTCGGCTGCTCAATCGACTTCTCGAAGATGTCCTCCATGGCGATGGAGAGCACGTAGTGGTTGTTCTCCATGCCGTCGAAAATGGTCAGGAAGCGTGATGCAATGGTATCAAATTGGCCCGGATTCTGTAATATAAATAATCATAAGGTTAAGGTTTTTTTTATAGGTTTTTCGGTTTAAATTTTGTGTATATATGTATCATTTCATTAAATAATAAAATATTTTCTCAATTTGTTTTCTGTTATTATTAATAAAATGTCTTCAATAAGGAAGATATTAGATAACTGATGTATCTATGCTAAGCTCCTACTTAGCTGTTCATTTTAAAAAACTTTTTAACGTGAACTAAATTCAAACAACTTAAATGGAAAAGTCATTCACTGATAAAATACATATTTTATCTAAGACATACTAAGATGTACTAAGTGTTAGAAGCTTCGAATAAATTTCTACAAGTAATATTGAAAACATAGTCCCCATGAAAAAAAGACACTAGAAGACGAGTTGATGCTTCTTCTACACCATATTATTGCTCGGCAGGGTGATATGCCTTTATACGAGATAAGAAAACAGATGATAGATTACAAAATGCTCGAAACAGGGAAGCATCTTCCACATTTCCCACACTAAATTCCATCATTGGCTATTATATATGAATTTTCTTTCAGATTCTCACCTGGTTAAGGCAATGTATGACTGTATCGAGATACTCCAATGCAATGGTGGCCATGTCCGGCTGCGAAGAGTTCGAGGACGAAGAGGAGGCCGCCGCGGACGAGGTGGATGGCTGCGGTTGCTGCTGCTGTTGGTTCTGGTTCTGGAAATACTGCTGCTGCTGCTGGTGGCTCTGGTGCTGCTGGTGGTGCTGCGGCTGCTGCTGGTGGTGCTGTGTCTGCTGTGCGATTTGTTGGAATGAGTTATTCAAGTGGGTATGCCGTTGAAACTTGGCGTGTTGATTGTTGTGTGGCTGATGCTGCTGCTGGTTGTGGTGTTGTTGTTGTTGGTGGTGGTGTGTGTTTTGTGGGTGTACCTGCTGCTGCTGCTGCTGATAGTAGTTGCCAGCCGAGCCCTGCTGGCTGTTCAGGTGCAGTCGATTCTGCACGGAATTCGTTAGCTTCTGCAAATCGCTGTTGAACTTTTGCTGATGGTTGTGATGATGGTTGTAGTGCGACTGCTGGTGATGATGCTGCTGCTGATGGTGGTGTTTGTAGCCGTTCCCATAGCGCTGCTGTTGGCCATAGGGAGCCGATCCGCCGGAGCCACCTGCTGCTCCACCAGCCTGCTGGTACTGCTGATGACGCGACTGCTGCTGTTGCTGTGGAGGAGCAACGCCACGCGGTACAAAAACGGAGGCCGTGGCCGACAGCTTGGACAAGTCGGGTTGGATGGCCTGCACCGGCATTTGCTGCTGGTAGCCAACGCCAACACCGGCTACCTGCGCCTGCCCGTAGGCCTGGCCATACTCGCCAAATAGATGCGCCGCCTGCTGCTCCAATCCCGGCATGGCCACTCCGCCGGATCCTGCTCCGCCGACATTTGGCCGACGTAGCTGCTCATACTGGTCGTCGGGCTGGAAGGGGGCGCGGCATGACATTGCGGTGGCGGCGGCGTTGGACTCGAAAACTGAAAAAGCACGGGCATGGATTAAAAAAGGGTTAAGTGCTGATAGCAATCTTCTAAAGGCAAATCACATTCGCTTTGGAAATCCAGCGTGGTTACGTCTGCCAGCGTCGGGGACGCCAATTTCGTCAAAGTCGCGGACATTTTGTTTTCCCTGCGCACTGATTTTTTCCTTTTCTTTTTTTTTATATATTGCTCGCTCCTCGTTTCTTCTCCCAATGACTCTCGTTTTGCGAACTGCCACAATAACAGTCTCGAATTTCCAATGCCTACCTTAATTCTGTCGAAGTTGAACGTATACGTCGCCGATTTTCTTTTTGTTGCTTCGTTTTGCTGCGTCGTCACTTTCACGTCTGCGTCTGCTCGTTTTTTTTTTTTGTTTGATCCTGCGGAAATTGCACGATTTACTGCCCGTGGGAAATGGGAAATGCAGTGGGGGAAAGCGGCCCTCTGACCGCCTATAACCAATAAGAAAAGCTACGCACCTTTTGTTCGCGCTGCGGCAATTTGTTAAAATTAATTATTTCGCCTTTTCACCTTCGGTGTGGTCGCAAGTGGCTAGCGGAAAATTACCTGGGCATATCTAAACATCAATGGGGTACCTTTCGATAGTTTGACAACCTTACGATGAATAAATATTTTCCAACACTGCTAATTCCCGATTTCAAGCGTTAGGGCCTTTTTTAATTTTGTTTTATTTAAGCCGATTCTTATTTCTTTAATTATCAATTTTTGAATTAACATTTACATTTATCAACATCCCTCTTTACAGGTGTGGCACCTTTGTCTTCCCCGTATCCTTCGACACATTCTTAAATAGCCTGGACGAAAAAAAAGTTTTGCTACACCATCTGGAAGACAAGGAGTTCCGGCTTCGTGCCCTTAAAAAGTTCTACAACCGCTTCTATATGTTCCCAGAGAAGCGATCTGGTACGAACTTCTTTGCGGATGAGCCAGAGACTTCTCTGGCGCAGTTACTTGCGTTTGGAAGGCCTCAAGATGAAATGGCGACCAAGACTGTGAAGCAGCATGCTGCGCAAAGTAAAAAGAATTACCAAGAGTAAGTAGTGGGGAAAGCTTTTTACTTAAGACGTACTTTGTTTCCTAACCATATTTTTATAGTGATATAAACTGCGAGGATTTGGTGCACTTCGAAAGCAATGCGATGTCCAGCAAAGTGACTTCCGACATGGCCGAAAGGAGGATGTCTACATCATCGTACTACGAGATCAACAAGGAGGCTACCGACGAACAGTTGTCGCAGACATCTATGACTTCGTCAGAAGTGGATGTAGATAAAAACATATAGGTTTTATAGATATGAATATCTAACTATCACAGTAACAAATCTGTGCGTATGATGAGATTGATTTTGTTTTTATTTTTAAGATTGCTCAATACTAAAACTTGCGGTAAATTCAAATATGGCCACCGCTACAGCTGATTTTGCTCAGCTCAATCGATAGTATCGAATAAACATCGATTTTTGTTCCAGATCTAACGAACAAATTGTTGTTTTTAGTTAAGTGCATGTGCGCATTGTGTGCAATTAATTTTTATTTCTTTAAATCGCTAGTGTTTCGCCTAGAATGTGCTGGAACGAGATGTGAGCACAAAGAAGAGTGCGTTAAGTGCATCCAAGCCATTAGGATAACGTGCAATATTTACACATAAACATACATATATGTATATATGTATAAACTAAATAATAAGGACAACGATTTGTTAAAAATAAACAAAGCGTAAGTATGCGTATAATGCATCTGTATACAAATACAGGTGGGCACGCATATGTGTGCGTTAGTTGTTGGTCTATAAGTGCAATTGTTTAATTATTTTTGATAGTCGAGTAGGAAACCCCCCGCATTTCTTTGTGTTTTTCCCCTTATTAAACCATTTTAAATGCAAAACTCAAGGCACTGTGACTGTGTGTATGACTCAAACAGTCAAACAATCGCACGCACACAGACAGCCGCCAAGTTCATTCACATTATCTGTTGTTTATGCTTTACTTTTGCTAACTTACTATGTGCATATGTACATATGTATATATGTATTATCTGAACATCTTCCCCAACTTAGTGAATCATTCTGTCTCTGTCTGCGCCCGCTTATCTAACAGATAAGTTAATTCAGCGAGCAAATAGTGGTGGTCTGATCAAATCCGATCCGATCCGATTTTGGATCGGACATTGGCGACATTGGCCTTGTAGAACTGCAACCAGAATTGCCTTTTTCAACGCATGCTCCGCTCACGGATTTGGAGCTGATCTCCTTGGCGGCCTGTTGTGAAATTACCCCATTCCTCCATGTCGGATCCTCTTATTTCACCACTCACTCGAGATCCGTTTTTTTGTATGTCACCCGATGGTGGGGTGTTTAGATAAAGTGGGTCAAGACCGCTTGGCGCCAAGAAAATCGCCATATATTTGGCGACAACAGTGCGTTTCAAACTTTACATTGAAATGTGATGTGTTGTGATGAGGTATATGAGGTATTTAATAAATTAATTATTTATTAAATAATAGTGAAATAAAAAAGTTAAATTTAAAACAAAAAATTCGAATTTCTCATAGTGTTTATTACATTTTATATTATCCAGAGCCATTTTCAAACCAACATGGACTTTGAGACGGGAAACCAGCAATACCATTACAAGGACATATTGTTTGTGTTCTTAGATCCATTCATTAATGATTTCGACTGCAAGGATGTTCAGGACATCCTGCAAGGAGTGTTGACCAAAGAGGAAATCGACCACATCATCAAGTCCAGGGATGCGGAGACGGCCACACTCCGCCTGTTTTGGGCACTGCTCTCTAAACAGGAGAAAACGGTCAAGGACTTTGTCGAAGATGTTCTCAACCGGAGTGACCAGCCCAACTACGAGTTCCTTGTGGCTGTCATTAAGGAAGAGATTCAGCATCCCAAAATGGAGACCAGGACGTACATCGAGCAAAGGGATCGCCTGTATAACGACAACCAAGTGTTTGCCAAATACAATGTTAATCGCCTGCAACCGGTAGGATTATCTTCCATTCTCAAGTGCTAGACATACCTCCATGTCTAGAATCAGTAGATTTACCTCACAGAATTGTTAATTAACCAGAGAATTCCTTTCATTTGCAGTACTTAAAGCTGACGCAGGATCTGCTTGAACTTCGTCCAGCCAAAAATGTTTTGATTTATGGCGTCTTGGGATCGGGAAAACACTGGCTTGCCCTGGACGTGTGTTCATCCTACAAAGTACAACTCCAGATGGACTTCAAGATCTTCTGGCTAAACTTGAAAGACTGCAACAGTCAAGAGACAGATCTCGAGATGCTTCAGACGCTGCTTCATCAAATAGACCCCAACTGGACAAGTCGTAGTGAGCAAGGCAGCAACATCAAGCACCGAACTCAGAGCATTCAGGCGGAATTGCGACGCCTATTAAGGAGCAAACCCTATGAGAATTGCCTCCTTGTTCTGCTAAATGTGCAGAATGTCAAGGCTTGGAAAGCCTTCAACCTGAGCTGCAAGATTCTGCTGACCACAAGGTTCAAGCAGGTTTCCGACTTTTTTTCAGCAGCCACCACAACTCACATTTCACTGGATCATCATTCGATGACGCTTACGCCTGATGAAGTTAAGTCTTTGTTTCTCAAATACCTCCACTGCAGACCGCAGGATTTGCCAAGGGAAGTGCTAACAACGAATCCGCGCAGACTCAGCATTATTGCGGAAAGCATTCGAGATAATTTGGCCACTTGGGATAACTGGAAGCAGTTAGTATACAACTGAAATTCCCTTATGTAATACATACTAATTATGTTTTTCTTTCAGTGTGAATTGCGATAAACTAACGACTATCATCGAGAGCTCTTTAAATGTCCTGGAGCCTGGAGCTAGAAAAATGTTTGATAGACTGTCCATATTTCCTCCCTCTGCCCACATACCTATCCATGTAAGTGTGTGCTCATTTAATATCATATTTATTCTTAATCTTTGCCAACTGGCTGTTGTGCAGCTCCTATCGCTGATTTGGTTCGATGACAAATCCGATGGCGACGATGCGATGGTTGTGGTTAACAAGCTTCACAAATACTCGTTGGTGGAGAAGCAACACAAAGAGTCAACCATTAGTATACCCGCCATATACTTGGAGTTGAAAGTGAAGGTTGATGACTTTACCGCACTGCATCGGAGGATCGTAGATCACTACAAGTAAGTATATAGACAAAAATTATTTGTGATTGATGATTTGTCATCGTGAATCGTGTTTGATATCTTAATTTTATTTTATCTTTCCTTGAAAGCATCACAAAGGCCTTCGACCACGACGACTTGATATTGCCCTCCCTGGACAGATATTTCTATAGCCACATCGGGCATCACCTCAAGACCATTGAGCCCACCGAGCGGGCAATTCTGTTTCGCAAGGTCTTCCTGGACTTCCGCTTTCTGGAACAAAAGATTCGCCACGACACAACGGCTTGGAATGCCAGCGGATCGATATTGAATACGCTGCAGCAGCTTAAGTTCTACAAGTCTGATATTTGTGGTGCGTAGAAAGATCAGAAACAAAGAAATCGGACTTACTGTATTTGTTTTCAACTTAGACAATGACTCCAAGTATGAGCGTTTGGTTAATGCCATTCTGGATTTCTTACCAAAGATCGAAGAGAATCTTATTCGCTCGAAGTTTACGGACCTGCTCAGGATTGCCCTGATGGACGAGAATGAGGCGATTTTCGAAGAGGCTTACCGACAAGTGCAGAGGTTTAGCGATAGGGTTTGGTTTACAGAGCAGTAAGTTTTCAAACTACTCAGGCAAAATAAAAGATTAATTTTTTTCACTTTTTTCCAGTGGCCGCTTCCACCAGCACCGCCAAATTATCAACTTGGGAGATAACGAGGTGCGCCACGCCCTTTACCTGAACAACGACTTTTCCCTGATGGCGTTGGACAACAAAGAACTGCTCCTAACCGACGTATCGCTGGAGGCAGAGGACACCTATATTCTGAGGGACGACAATGACAACAGTGAAATCCTGCGGATGGCCGTGCTTAACAAACAGAAGCACCTAATCACCTTGCACAGCAACGGCAGCGTGAAGCTCTGGTCCCTGTGGCCGGATTGTCCAGGAAGACGCCACAGTGGTGGCAGCAAGCAGCGAGTGCGTCCTCCTGGCTCCACGCATCTTCGAAAGCCCACGGGAACGAGAAGCTACCAGCAGCTGGTTAACAGCGTGGTCAAGCGCTATATTGGCACTTATGCAGATCAGAAAATTATGGCTTTCTATCTGGAGGAACAAGCCGGATTGTCGGACACCAAAATCCAACTGCACGTGGCCTTCAGCAATGGCGATGTGAGCATCTTGGCCTGGGATGAGCAAGATCAGATGTTCAGACCGTCGCACATTCCGACCTTAAAGACTCTCCAATCCGAAATCCGCAGCTTTGTTCTGGTTTTGAAGCAATATTACGTGGTGTGCAACTCTAGTTGCGATCTGACTGTTTGGGATTTGAGCAATGGCTCCGGCGAAAGACTAGAACGTGAAGACTTTAATGTGGTCAACGACACGCCTTTGGCCTTGGAGGGCTATGACGAAAGGAATCAGAAGGCCACTGTACTGCTTATTTTTAAGCATAGTGTTTGGCGTCTAAATTTCATGCCAGGCCCCTCCGTAATTCTGCAATCCGAGGCAGTGCAGCTGCAGGAGGGCAGTTTTATAACCTGCGGCAAGCGTTCGGATGACGGACACTACCTTCTGCTGGGCACTTCCGAGGGACTGATAGTTTATGATCTTCGGATCTCTAATCCCGTGCTTCGCAGCAATGTCAGCGAACACATCCAGTGTGTGGATATCTACGAGCTGTCCGATCCTGTCTATAAGCATATAGTTCTGTGTGGCGGCAAAGGCAAGAAGGTGGTCCATGTGCACACGTTGCGCTCCGTTAGCGGGATGGATGCACATCAAGATCGGGAAATCGCCTGGGTGCATAGTGCAGATGAGACGAGTGTGGTGACAAGGGCCTGTCTTGAGCCCAATGTATACCTGCGTTCTCTGATGGACATGACCAGCGGGCGGACGCAACTCCTGGCCGTGGACTCCAAAAACCGCATCCACCAAATTGAAACTGCCACCGATCCAAGTGCCCGAAGGAGATCCAGCATTTCCGCTTGGTCAACGATCACACCCACGCATGCTGCCAGTAAAGCCAAGATAACGGCCATATCCGCATTAAACGACGAGCAGATCTTCGTGGGCTACGCGGACGGGGTGATCATCGATGTCAACCAGGATGCGGTTTTACCTCAGCAGTATATTACGGAGCCCATTGATTACCTCAAACAGATTAGCGCGCAAATGCTGGTGGCCTCGGCTCATGGCGTCCAGAAGACTGTGATATTCCACCTTGGGAAGACAGATGACCAATGGCCATTATACCTGGATGTGGGCACCAAGTACGCCTGTCTTCTGCATGGACAGTTTGTCATCGTATTCTCCGA